CAGTATTGTGCACAGCAAGTTCTATGTTGATGAAGTTTCAATGGTAAATTAGATTTTTGACCATCAGCATCTGAAAAGTGAAAAAAATATAATAAACTATAATTTTTAGTTAAAAAATGTTACACTCGCTAGGGAAGAGCTCGTATTTTACAAGAAAAATATTTTTTTTTCAATTTTATACAATAAGCAATAAGTTGGAATAAAGAACACAAAGATTGAAGTGTCTCTTCTTTCTCATCGGCCTATACAGTGAAACTTCTATATAATAAACCCCCCTACCCATATATAACGAAAGTCCTGTATGAAGAACTCCCCTATAACAAACTCTGGTAAAACAAAAAAACTTTTAAATCTTTGACCATCACTACACAGTGTATCTAAAACTCCTGTATACCAAAACCTCTTCATAACAAGCAAACTTAAAGTTCCCGCGCAACTCGTTATACAGGAGTTCCCCGCTACTTTCAAAATTAATAAAATTCACAAAAGTTTAGCAGACAACTATAAAAATAAACCTTTAAGCATGGATTTATTTTTGTCGCTTCCAAACAAGTGGGAAACAAGTAAATGGTCACAGAAAGTGAAAATCGCATTCGACCCCTTACAACGATTATGTATATCCGGTGAACGCGTAACACGTTCACTACAAAGTAAAACCCAGTGGTAACAAAAAGTGATTACTTCTGAATTAAAGGTCTTGGGTGAGAGGTAGAATTAATTTTAAATTTTTTTTAATTAAAAAAAATTTTTTAATTTTTAATAAAAAAATAAAATTTATGCAAATTTTCTGAAATTTTTAACATAGCTAATCTAAATCATATTGAAACAATATGCAAAGTTTTAAAATTTAACTTCCAGTCATTCCCGAGAAAATCGAGTTCAAAAATTCAAATTTACATTTTCCCGCCAAAATTGATAGCATTTTTTTAATGTTGGTTATTGGCCATTTGAGGTTATTTTTGTATATTTATCCTTAAAGGTTGTTTAAATTTGTCTTTTTTACTAAAAACATTGTCTTATTCGATTGAAAATGGCAATTTTTAAAAAATTTCAAAATTTAAAAAAAAATTTTTTTTTAATTTTGAAATTTTATGACCAACTCATTAATTTTATCTTTGTTTGTTTATTACCATACCGTTTAATCAACCAAACCTAAAAACTGCTATTTGTTGACGCATTCCATTTAAAATTAGAGCTTGTTGACATATCATAACAGAGTAACATGTTGATGTATATAAAAGTAGATCAACTTGTTGATGGTAAACCCTCTTATTATATTTCAAAAGTTGGTTAAAAGATCAGAAGTCGGTGATGAGCTTTCGTTACCTGTTACAACCAGAATTTGCAACGCTCAGTGTAAACTCAAGTGATCACTTCTTTTTCGACACAAAATTTATTGCCTTTGGCGGGTTGATGCATAAAGAAAGTTTTGTCATACGTTAAAAAAACACGGATTTTTAACGGAACACTGTTTTGAAATTGAAAAACTAGAGTAAGGTAAACCTAAGAAAAGCCTACTAGGTCAGGCTGAAACGGGCCAAAGCAAACTAAAAAGCGGTCGGCCCAAGCCGATAGATGTACACTGGAGCCCAAAAGCTGAGGATCAAACCAAGGCTTGTAGGATAGGTCTCTTAAAGCAAAAGCCAAAACTACGGCTAGGCTAAACCTAGTGCTAAGCTAAAGGTAAGACTTGGCTAAGGGAAGGGTCGGGCTAAAAGTAGGACTAGGCTAAAACTAGGGCTAGGGCTAAGGCTAAGGCTAAGGCTAAGGCTAAGGCTAAGGCTAAGGCTAAGGCTAAGGCTAAGGCTAGGGCTAGGACTAGGGCTAGGGCTGTGGGCTAGGGCTGTGGACTAGGGCTCTGGGCTAGGGCTCTGGGCTTAGGCTCTGGGCTGGGCTAGAAAAGATAAAATAAAAGAAAAGAAAAAGAAAAGAAAAAGAAAAGAAAAGAAAAGAAAAAGAAAAGAAAAGAAAAGAAAAAGAAAAAGAAAAGAAAAGAAAAGAAAAGAAAAGAAAAGAAAAGAAAAAGAAAAAGAAAAGAAAAGAAAAGAAAAAGAAAAAGAAAAGAAAAGATGAGGCCATGGACTAACAAAATTAAAAAAATTAAAATATTAAATATTTTCACTGAACTTTATTATTACAGTGTAAACCCGGTCCTGTAACAAAAATATTCATGTTTGTCATAAACATTGTAATAAAAAGTTACACTGTATTTCTAAAACATTGTAAGACGCAATTAATCTTGCAAGGCCTTGGACTGACAAATCGAATTGGTCACATGAACTTTGTTTGGTTTTAACAAATAAGAAATTAATGTTGTTATACATACAATAGTAATAAAAGTTATATTGAAAGAGTAAAATGTGCCAACGAAAAAATTTTAAACACATTTATAAGTTTTTAAAATCAGCTTTCCCGGTAATTTTTTACGTTTTTTCATCCTATTATATGTAGGTCTCGTTCTAAAAGCCAAAGGAGATTTAGTGAAATTCCCTTGCTAGCCGTACCTTAGCCTATTGTTTCTTATAAAGCTTATATATATCACATGACAAAAAAACTCAAAAAAAGTTATTCAAAACTTACTAAAATGACACTCTCAACATCAAAACGTGGCTTTATATTTCTGTTTTCTTGACCTTGCACTAAATATATAAGTTATATTAGCCTGCACTATTACCATGTGAGTGATCATTTCAGCCATTATTTTATATCCTATTTCCAAAATTTTAATTTTTGATGAACTACCTTTCTCACTACAGTCTGGCTTCTATTACTACTAATTTTTTTGCCACATTAGTACCACTATTATTACTCATTTATGTTACAGTAGTATCACTAATCATAGGCAACGCTAGAAAAGTAAAACTTAAGGTTTACTGTAGTAAGGGTCACTATAATATAACTTTTAACCACAATTTCAAATATTCAAAAAAAAACTTTTATTGGCTTCTATTTTTGCTACAGTAACAATATACTTGCATTCTTGCTTCTTTTTTTTGCTACAGTAACCCTACACTTGCATTTTTGCTTGTCTTCTTGCTACAGTAACTCTACACTCATCATTTTAAAAATTTAAAACTAAACTTTATATTGCACTATATGATCACTCTCCTCATGTCATCACTTTACTATTACACAGTAATCTCTACACCGTTCCAACGGAAAAAAAAGATTTCCCCCTCTACCCATAAATCACCTCAAGAGCAAAAGTCAGCCCACTTGACAAACCGCCGGGCACACGTGGTAGCAACAAAATAAGACAATTTCATCGACAAACGGCGAGGGGTACCCCCGACCATTAAAGGAAATCCCATTAAGCGATAAAACAACACTCCTTTCGATGACAGGTGAACAATGTTGTGTAAACATTGACTAATACAGACATTCATAACATTAATTAACAGTAATTGGGGTTTTTAAATTAAATTTTTTTTGTAAAAAAGCAAAACATACTCCAAAGCTGGAGCCGGAGCTAAAATTTAAAAAAAGGCGGAGCCGGAGCTGGAAATTTGAAATTTGGAAACTCTAGTTAGGACTAAGCCTAGGCTAGACCTGGAGTGAGAGTAGCGTGGATCCAAAACAAGAGCTATGGTAGAGCTTAAGTAAGGCTAACTATTAAAGGCAAGATTAGGACTAAAGTAAAGCTATATGTAGAGCAAGAGCTAAGGCTAAAGCTCTGGGCTAAGGCTCTGGGCTAGGGCTCTGGGCTAGGGCTCTGGGCTAGGGCTCTGAGCTAGGACTCTGGGCTAGGGCTCTGGGCTAGAGCTCTGTGCTAGATCTCTTAATTAGAGCTAGACTAAAAACCGTAATAAAAATTTAAAAAAAGTAAAGTTTTAAATCACAAAGATCGACAAATAGACAACGAAATTCAATTTTAATGCCCTAGCCAGCCCTTCGTACTTCGTATATTAACTTTTGTGCTCGCTGTTGTCACCGTAACAGCAAATAATTAAAAACTTCAAATTAAGATTAGACAATGGCGATTTTAAGAGCAGGAACTACGTAGACGGCTAATAGGTAAAGTAGTCAACAACTTTTTCGTATTTTTTCAAAAAAACAAACAATGTAAATAAAGCTAGAGAAAGCAAAATTCGCTTAGAGCCCACGGCAAAAATTTTTTTTTAATTTTATCATTAATATTTTCTAAATTAACATCACAGTGAAATGTCCGCATATTGTCAAAAATAAAAAATCAAGAAAACGCTAACAAAAACATATTTTGTTGTTTCTTAAAGGCGGACAACTTCGACTTTACTATAAGAACATAAAAATTACTCAAAAAATTTATTTAGATCAAATAACTTTTGAAGCATCCTGTTTACAGTTTTCAAACAACCTCGTACTAACGAGACAAGATTACATCCGGTGTTCTTTTATCATGATTCCTTTATCATATAGATTTCTTAATTAAACTACTCCATCCACTAAATTTGAAATATAAAACAGCTGATACGGTTAATAACTATTTTTACCCATTTTTGAAAAAAATTTTTATTTATTATACATAATATGATTAAAAAACTTAATAGTGTGAAACTCCTGTATAAAAATGTCATCTATAACAAAAACCTTGTATAACAAGCGACTTCTGAACCCTAGGCCAACACTACATACTGAGTTTAAAACCCCTGCATAAAGAAACTCCTATATAACCAACAAATTTAGAATCTCCGAGCAATTCGTTATCTAGGAGTTCAACTGTATTTTACTTTAAAAATAATTCCACCCCAAAATATCAAAAAATATAAGACCACAAAAGATGAAACAGAACTGAAAACTTATTTTTAGAAAAGAGCTTTTTTCAATCATCTTACACTGGGACCTGGATGAATGGAAAGTAAAGTCTGATTTGTTTTCTTTTATTCAAATTCCGCAAGTTTTGTTAGTCACGGTAGGAAACAAGGGTTTTTTGGGAGAAGATGTTACGAAAATATCAATTTTGGATTTTCTGAAATGATAACCCTAGTCATAGTCTTATCCCTAGCTCTTGTCCTTGTCCTAGCCTAGCCTTGCCTTGCCTTGCCTTGCCTTGCCTTGCCTTGCCTTGCCTTGCCTTGCCTTGCCTTGCCTTGCCTTGCCTTGCCTTGCCATGCCTTGCCTTGCCTTGCCTTGCCTTGCCTTGCCTTGCCTTGCCTTGCCTTGCCTTGCCTTGCATTGCCTTGCCTTGCCTTGCCTTGCCTTGCCTTGCCTTGCCTTGCCTTGCCTTGCCATGACCTGTTCTGGCCTGTCCTGTCCTGCTTTATCTCCAGCTCCAGCCCCTGCCTCATGTTTCTATCCCTTCTTACCCTAGCTACTCTATATATCTATGAACTAAGCCCTGCCCTTCCCTGCTTTGCCCTGCACAGCCCATCTTTTTTTAACTCCAGCCCCTGTCCCCACTTCTAACCCTTCCTACAACAGCTATTCTGCCATATCTACAATGAATACTTGTACATTACAGTAACTTCTACCCCATCTAACAATAAACATTTCGACTATGTAAAACGTTGTAATAACCCTCCCATCCCCCTCTTACATGAAATTGAGGGTTTAAGGCCCATTAAATTTTATTTTAATACCAAAAACAACAACTTACATATAAACGTGTTTTCGCCTCTACATAACAATTACAGTACGCCTTACAATCACAAAAGGTAATGTTCCGCGAAAAACACTAAGACTCTTACTAACAAAGGTTACTTTTAATTACAAACGTTCCTAGACTCGCACTTAAAACGACAATCGTTCGCGGTAAACCCTCAGACCACTAAGCTTTTTACAAAGGCAAAAGATTGTAGACAAAGGTTTACCATGGTAATTGTCAAGGCCATTCTGAACTTTTTAAAGAATTTTAAGAATTGAAAGAATTCAATTTGAAAGTGGCATCAGTTTGATCAAAAAATAGTTTTTTTTAGGTAACAAAAATGATTTCCTCCTCCGAGGTGGGGTATAGAAAAAAATTTTAAAAAATGCAGTGGAACTCCAGTATAACAAACTCCTCTGTAACTAAAACCTCGTATAACAAGAAATTTTTAAGTAGGAGTAAAAAACGGACCGTGTAGTTCCGGCCCGGCCCTACAATCAGGCCGAGCCGAGAAAGCCTTAAGCTAAAGTTAAAACGAGCCCGGCCTGAAAAGTGAGCTTGGCCCGCCTGTCGCGCGTTAAAAAGTAGATCCGAGCCAATAAAAAGTTTTTGAATTCAGACCGAGCCAGACCTGACCTCGAGTTTTTTACTGTGCCGGGCTAGTCTGAAAAAGAACGAAAACAACCACGTCTAAAAGTTACCCCCGGGCCTGAGGTCTTAAAACTGAACCGGTCCAACCCGTTTCTCATCCGTATTTTTAAATCCCCGGCTGTAAACTGCACAGTGTATTTGAAACTCCTGTATAACAAAACTCTTTTATAATGAAAAACTTTAAAATAAACCGAAAGATTCGTTATACGAAAGTCCCAATGTAGATATGCATATTTATAAAGAAATGGCAAACTGATCTATAAACTTTGGGTTGATAAGATACCAAAACACAAAACAACATCACAAAGTTATAATCAAATTTTGTAGTTTTAAAAATAAGTTTAAAATATGGAAACCACACCTGTGTAACGAATTGCTCGGAAATTTTCGATTTGTCCGTTATGAGATAGTTTCAGTGTGCAAGGGTTTTAAATTCGCAGTGTAGTTAAAATTTGTATTGAAACATTTCACACAAAACCGTCTATCATAATACAAAGTGCAAAAATTATGAACAAATAGCTAAAACCGTACAAAGCTACAAATTTTATGTTTTAAATACAATGCTGTTATAACTTAAAGTTACAAAAATACTATATTTTGTCAAAAAACACTTATCATCACCTCACAAATGCAAAAAAAGATGTTTTTCAAAAAAGCCTTTAACACAAAACTAACGTCATAAAATACAAGAAAAAGAGTGGGATTTTGCGAACAAATATAATAATTGTTTGTTTGTTAAGAATATAACTCTTGTCGTTCTCTATTACTCACTTACGACTGCTGCTGGGTACACACTGCACTTTTTGTATGTACAATTTTTGTAAAATTTTAATTTTTTTTTAAACTTGAATTACTTGGTTGTTCAAATAATTCTGTGCCTCGGTTTAAAGCAAAATTTTGGAGTAAAAGCACAGAATTATTTGAAAGGCCTAATTGTAATCGTTTACCCTTGTTTTAGAAAGAAGTTATGCTAACTATCATCCCTCAGGTAAACTGTAAGCAATTCCCAGCACTCGCAGTCATTTGTTGGGTCGTTTTACACCGAGGCAAATATTATACAAATCAGCAACCTTACATAAGAAACAGTTGCGCAACAAGGTTTCTTGCAATTTCTGTAAGGCTATCTTATAGTATAATAAAGTTGGGTAACAGAGCGCAAATTATAACACACTTTTCATGTTGTTTCATGCTAAATAAGGAATGTTTCAGAAGTTGAGGACTAGTTGGTGCAACTTTGTTAGTACATAAAGTTTTTACAGTACGAGTACCAAGAAGTATGTCATTGTTACTCAAGGCTTGCTGAGGTATGGGCCGTTATCGTATTGCTTATAGTAGACTTCATATTGATTACATTAAAACTTTTATAAAGTTTTGTCGTTTTGGAACGTCAAAATCAACACAAATTAGCGACAAGGCTTTTGTACTTTTAAATAAGCCAGTTTGACGAAAGAAAAGTGCAATTAAAACGTTTTTAGGCTAAAATTTAATCATTTTTTGCCTTAAAACAAATTTTTTATACAATTTTTAATTTTTTTCTAAAATTTCAAATTTTTTTTAAATTTCAAAACTCTTGTTTTAAAAATCTTTTCTCTGCCCTTTTATTACATTATAATAAAACATCTGGAGAAGTGATGGAAACCATCCGAATGTTCATTATAATGCATCAGCTCCGTTTACCTTGAAACGGAGCCGCCTTTTTGGCAAAACAGACATTCCGTTTCTTATCTATTTTTTTGCGTTTTTACGGAAATTTGAAAACTTTTAGTCATAAAATTAATTTTTTCTGTTTTTACTAGCCACACATTAAATAAATATTGATCTTTTTTATTTACAACCGTTTTTAGGTATAGAGCAAGCCTTTTTGACATTTATATCATTATTATGTTGCTTTAGGGTCTTATGAAGTTAATTTTTGAACGTTTTGGGAATATTATACTAATAGCGGGCGGGTAGTGTTGGTCTTGGCATTAGCTGAGGAGAGGGGGGGGGGGAACAACAATAATTTTGAATTATAGATTACTTGTGGTACCCCTTTTTAATTTTTTTCCACAAGGTCATTTAGGCCAAAGATTTACCAAGAACGCGCAGAGATCAACTCCATATTACCTACCTAGACTTGTAAAGGGAACTTACCCGATTTTCTGTTCAGCTGTGTCCACTGGCAAAAGTCCAATTGTGCCGGTCCTTTTTAAATTTGCTTCGGCTCAGCCCGGCCCGTTGTCAAGCCTAGTAGGCCCTCTTTCAGATCTAGTATTACCTACAAATCAGTGAAAAACTAAAATCAATCCTTCAAAAAGTACAAAAAATATTTTACCTTATCAGTACGAAAGTTAGGAGGTTTCGGATACAAAAATCAATAATAACAATATATTTAATATACAATATTAACAATATGTTACACAAATCAGTCTTGTCATATACAATGTTCAACACAATCATTGGTACACAAGCTTCAAGGGTTAAGCTCAATCCTCCCTGACCCAAAGAGCCACAAATGACCTTGTTCAGGTCGTCGTGGAACCGCTCTTCTTCTTCCTTTTGGCTGATTTGAGCGAGGAGGTGGAAGCGCTGCTGGTCGTTTTGGACTTGGATGGTTTCTTTGATCTTTTGGTCAATTTCTCCGTTGTCGACTTTTTCTTTTTTGGCCATGGCTGTGACTTCTTCTGCACGGTTTTTCCACCGATTCGTTCTACCCCCTCGCCGATTTCTACCGCCTCCATGAAGGATTCGCTGATCACGAAATTGCCTTCTGTCTTCTCTACCGTCGATTCGTCTTCGTCCTGTAAAAGGTTGAAAATGAAATGCCAGAACAATAAAATGGTATACAAAATGAAATGAAAAGAGGTGTTTCAAAATTTGTTATCTAAAAAACCCAAAAATTAGTGCTGGGCAGGGTAATTTTGAGTTAAAAATATTAATTTTTTGAGACAAACCACTAAAGGATATTCTCCTTTTCATCTAATGAAAAGATACTCTCCTTTTCATCTATCTTCCATAATTCTTTCTCAACTTACAGACACAGGATCAATCACCTCCGGCACCTCCAATGGCCCCCTGAACTTGATGTTCTTCGGGTTCACGTGGAACTGTGTGACCGGCTTGAACTCGTCGATATTAAACTCGGCGGCCGTCTTCTTGACGCTCTTCCCGTTCTTCGAAGACTGTGTTACACGTTTGCCTATGCTTCTGTTCGATTTCTTATCCTTCGTAGGTGTCGTCGGATTGGGAGCTTTTGGCGTCGCTGGCTTCGTTGCGTCCACTGTCTTGGGCTTTTTCCCCAACTTTGGGTCTGGTACTTGCTTCTTTTTGGTTCTCCTTTTGTAGATACACCAACCGATGATTATGGCAAGGAGGATGATGAGAATTATAACCACGATGACAGCTACAATCGTTATCTGAAAATAATATTATTTTATTTTGATAAAGTTAAACAAAAGGCTCTAATTTCAACATTTTTAAACTCTGCCACTTACCATATTACTCTTGGAGGCCGGTGTAGCAATTGTAGTCCTTCGCGAGGAAGTTTGATTAGTAACATATATATCATCATAATATTCATCTTCAGTTGTTGTTCGCTTAGACGTTGCCTTTGTAGTCAATTTGGTAGAGCTAGTAGTCGTCGTAGAGATCCTTGTAGACGATGTTGTTGTAGTCCTCGTTGATGTCGGTGAAGTTCTGTTCGTTTTAGCTGTCGATGAAGTTGTTGCGTTTGATATTAACGTTGTTGTGATTGTAGCGATCGTTGTTGTCTTAATCGTTGATTTAGAAGGCGCTAATGTTGAGGTTTTAATAGTCGTTGTTGCTTTTGCTTTTGTAGCAGTCGGTTTTGTTGTAGTCGTGGCTAAAGACGTAGTACCTTTTGTAGTAGGTGTAGTTTTAACTGTCTTATTTCCTGGAATCGCTGTGGCCTCACGTTTCTTGCGGTTTCTATAATCTTCAAGTGAAGACATCAATTCTTCATCCCGCAAATTATCTAAAACAATGTAAAACCATTTTTAGGTAATAAAAAGCAGAAAAATTAATTAAAATTTGTTTGTTAAAAAAGTTAGTGTTATTTTCTATTTTATAACACCAAGAAACGCAGCAGAACTTAGAGTTATACCCAAAAATTCATAAAAATCTTTATGTTATCCAACAGATTACCTAAATATCAAAGAAAAAAATACAAAAATAGGACTTACCATCACTAATATCCTTCTCAACATCAAGTTGAAGATCCTCTTTGTCAAACTTATCAATTTCCGAATATTTGTCGTTCGTTCTTTCAAAGTTACCACCATCTTCCGCAAAGTTACCTCCATCTTTCTCGAACGAAATAACATCTTCTCCAAATTCATCTATACCTCCATCTTCTATGAGCTTTCTGCCATGTTTATGTCTATCGTTCCCGTAATAATAAGTGTCAACATCCTCTATATAATTCTGCGCAGAACTGCCTTGAAATTGAACTCCAACCCAAAGATAAACCAGCAGGAAACGTGAAATGTTGATGATCATAGACCGTTATCTCCAATGAAAGCTCTGGTAGAAGATGAAGATACCTGTAACAAAAGAATGTAATAAAAAAAGATTTGGCGATGAAAATACAACAACAAAAAGGTTCAGCAATGAAATTCGAACAAAATTTCCGAAAAAATTTAGGTAACAACCGAGTTTTTCCGAAAGATTTTCGACCGATTCAAAATTTACTCGTTTTTCGCAAGAAAATTAGAAAATTAATTGAATTCAAACTAAAAAATATGTAAATTAATTTAAGTTTTATTTTTGGAGCAAAAATTGAAAAATTCCGGCAATCAGTAGAAGTTTCGCACCCTGGCGATCAGACATAGTGCATAATGCCAAGAACCGTTCGTTTTCATAACAGATCGTAACGTTTGCGTTGATGTATGACTTTAATTGCTCTCGTTCATTGAGTTGAGCAAGATACATTCTGTAACTTTTGATTTGATTTTGAGCTGTACTGTCTATTCTGGTGATAGTGCTCTATTGTGGTAATTATGCAGGTGTTATTGATATTTTCAGAAGATGAATTGAATGGTTTTTGATTTGATTCTTCTTTTGAGCTAAAACATGTTCTTTTTGTGTAGATAGTGCTTTAAATGTTTATTATGTTAACGTTCATATTCCAATTTCTATAAAAAAAGCATTTCTGTGATAACATCCTATGTTCTCTCCTCTCCCATGGTCTGGCTCTGCTTGTACGTATTATAATATGAATGTATATACTTAAAGCTTTATAAAACCAAAATTCGAAAGCTAAAATATTATGATGAGGGCATGTGGGATGAGAACTTGGCTTAAATTTAAAAATAGAATTGAAAAGATAAATTGAGGGACTGAGAGAGGGTCCAAAATGTTTTGTTTTTCTTGTTTCTAATGACATATTGGCTCGTAATGAAGTATACGAAAGTGTTTTGGCACATTTCATTTATACGTGTTGACTTTTGAACATTTTTATGAGTTTTTATGTTTCTGTGATAAGTTGTCTCAGGCAAGCTTATTTATGGTCGAGCATTACAAAAAGTCTTGTGTGTAACATCAAATTGTTTTATCATTTTCAATGTTTAGGTATTGTAAACTTGTGTTGTAGCCATATTATGGGAAAAAGAGCGTACTTACGGTTTTTGGCTGAGGAGAGATGTTTTAGAGGATGGCTAGAGCTAACCAGGGAAGGTACTTTAATTGCATATAATTTGTAAGGTAAAACTATAGTAGGTTAGGACTTTTCAAGGGGAGGGGAAGATAAAAAATCATTTTTTAGGATTGAAATCGTGGCATATATACCTTTTTTCTTCCATTTTATATTACCTTACCTTATTGCCTTCTACTCTTTTTCTACTGCATTTAACCTTGTGTTACCTCTACTATACTTCTACTTTTTAGGTGTGCTCTATTTTGATTCTATTACCTCTTACCATATCTTAGAACCTTCTGCTTTATAATACTGTTTATCCTACCTTGCTCTGTCCTACCCTACCCTACTATACCCTAAAATACCCTACCTTACCCTACCTTGCCCTGTCCTACCCTACCCTACTACTATATCCTACTCTACCTTATGCTACTCTATCCTACCTTACCGTACCTTACTCTAACTTAACTTGCCTGACCCTACCGTACCCTACCCTACCTTACTTTATCAAGCATGGTAAGCAGTAGTAGTTTTCCTTTCTTACTATTATTCTCTCTATTTTCTCCCTCTCTTAATAATTCTTATGCTACTATATACCCCTCTTATACTGTCTAAAAAATTCGATATCAAGCTCGATAGTCAGGTCTTCCTAAAATTTTTAAAATTTTAAAAGATTCATATTTTCCCATTTTCTTCAAAAATCTTTTTTTTTGTCATACTAGTTTAAAGAATGTCCCCATATCCGTCTCTTCTTGTTTACAATCGAAACGGCTACTTGTCTTTTTTTCTTTAATCATTTAGGTAAACATCTCTGTTTCTTTCATTTGTGACTTTTTCACGCCTCACTACCCTCGTCAGTCAATGTTCGGTCGAAATGGATTGATAATGAGTTAAGGTGGCGGGCTTTTTGCTTCGGAATGCAACAATTTTAATTACAAACAGGGATGAGTAAGGGCAACGGGGTTTTATGGGTTTAGGGCTTCTGGAACGGTTTTCTTTTTTGTAAACTGTTAGTTTTGTAATTTCAAGATGAGGTGTTTAAGATAATCATGACAGTTTAGATCAAACGTTATAATTATTTGGATTTTTCACAAACTGCAAACGTATTATTATATGTTATCTAATATTTTTGTACTATTATAATGGATTCAAGTACCCTATCAAAGCCTAGCCTTAGCTCAAACTTTAATTTTAGTCTTAACCCTAGCCTTAGCAATGGCTTCAGTTCTAGCTCTCACCCTAACTCTAGCCATACCCACAGCCCTGACCTCAGCCCTAGCCCTAGCCTTCTGGCAAGCCATAGCTCTAGTTGCATCCCTACATCTAGGACTGGCCCAGCCTTAGCCATAACTTTAGCCTTAACGCTAGCCTCAGTCCTAGTCTTAGCCCCAGCTCGAGCCCTAGACCTAGCTTCAGCTATAGTTTTTACCTTATCCTACTTTAGTTTACTGTTTCTAATACTATAGCAATGTACGTTACCTCACTATATAGTGGTTTATCACATTTTATTGTATATCTTTCTAGTTAACTATAGCAAGAGATTTCATATCAATTCGAGCTTTAGCCATGCCCTGTCGCTAGCTTGGAAAAAAACACGTACCGAGCCCAGTTTTTTAGCTTGGCCTTAGGGTTCACATGTCTTGGGCCGGTCCGGCCTTTTTCAATTTTGCCTTGGCCCGGTCCGAGGCAGGGCTCAGCTGAGCGGCCTTTCTTTCACTTCTACATCTCAGGCTAACTTTTCCTTCTCTATTATTTGCTAGTCTTAACCTTGTCTTATCTTAATTTTACCATATCTTTACCTACCTTACTCTCTCTTTTACAACTTCTTTTTAAAAACTCCCAACCTGCTATTTCTAAACAATATATTCTCTAAAAACTACAAGTTTTGACCTCCAATTTTGTTGTACCTTTTGTTGATCAAAACCCCCATCCCCTCCTTTGACTTATTGTGTAGTAAACATGTTAAATCGCCCTTTTAAAACGTTTTGTCAAAGTCGGATCGCTTTTTTTGAATTGTACAAGTGACTCACTTTAAGGCCATTTTGTTTTGTTGTTTTGCGACTCTTAACTCCGCTTTTTTCATACAGCTTCTTGTTTATTTCGAACCGCAAAACAAAAAATTTAGTCATGGAATTTGATTTTAGGGAGCCTTGTTGTTAGCTTTTGATTTTTTACGTTTTCAAGAGGTTAAATTGAATCAATCATTAAAATTTAAGATTTTTAAATTAAAAACAAAAATTTAAATATGGCCTTTTGTTTTAGGCTTACAATTGTTAGTGTAGGCTTAAGAAAAAGAATAAAAATAAGCTTAAATGCATTTTTAGCTGATAGTTTTAGTTTTCTTTAATAGCATCTTTGCTAGGAATAGGGTAGGGTAGAGTAAAGCAGGGTAAGGTAAGTTAGAGGTAGGGTAGAGCAGGGTAGACTAAGATAGAGTAAGGTAAGCTAGGGAAATTCAAAGATATAATAGTATAAGGTAGAGTACGGTAGGGTAAGCTAGAGTAGGATAAGGTAGGATAGGGTAGGGTAAGGTAGGGTAGGGTAGTGTAGGGTAGCGTAGGGTAGGGTAGGGTAGGGTAGAGCAGGGTAGAGTAGGGTAGGGTAGGGTAGGGTAATAATACGTAAAGTAAAACAAGGCAGGAGAGAGTATTGTAAGGTCGGGTAGAGTGGGATAAGGTGAGTAGAGTAGTTCCTTCCTCTCTTTCGTAGACATGAGGAAGACCAGCCCGACCGGCCTACCATCGGGCCGGGCCTGATAAAAATTTAGATCGGGCTGGGTCTGTTCCTTATGTCTACTCTTTCATTCTTCTTTAAAAAACTCTGTTTTTCATTTAATTTTTTTTAAAAATTTTTTTATTACCTAAAATTTAAATTTCGTTTTTTTTGTTTTCAGTCCCTCATAAAAACGGCTAGCTTCTATTTATTTATTTTATTGCGTGCTTTGTTTCCGGAAAGAATTGAATTCGTTTTTTGTTGCTTTTTCAATGTCATTTAGACTACTTGGACGTCATTTATGTTGACATTTTTGTTTGTCCCTTCTAAAAGCAACAAAGCTTTTTAAGCCTGGGGCTAAATATTTTCTAAATTATAAATTAACGTGTGATGCCTTATTATTTTCGACCGTTTTCGGCTGTAAATGTTGTTTATTTTTGAGCTGGCCAGCTGTAAATTACAAAAAATATATATTGCAGTAGGTGTAAACAATCTGAGACTAGACGCACGGCATTTTGTTGTTTTCAGAGACTTCATAGTAATGTTAAATGTTATTATTTACTGTGGTTTCAGTAGTATCTTTGTCTGTTTTAATTTGGCATGCCTTTAACTTGCCCCAGCTTTAGCCCTAGTCTTAGCCCTAGCTATTAGCCCTAGCCATTGTCTTAGCTATAGCCCTAGCCCTTACCATTACTCTTCCCCTAGTCCTAATCCAGCCCTATCTTTAGCCCCAGCCGCTAGCTCTTGTCCTAGCTTTAGACCTAGGCCTAGCGTTAGTTCTTGTTTCAGTCCTAACCCTAGCTCTGGCATTAGCCTAGCCTAAATTTTGCTCTCAAGCCTAAATTTCCGTACATTAAACACTAGCTCTAATACTAGGCCCTGATGTTAGTACTGTGCCTTAACCCTCGCTCTAGCCCTATCTTAAGTCCTAGTCCCAACCCTAACCTCAGTCCCAGCCTTAGTTTTGCCTTGGCTCTATACTACTAATTTTTTCTTGAGGTCTGAGTTCTATACGATAGTCCAATATACTGTATTTTACGTTACCTTGATGTATATCCTTTATTTTCTCAATAAATAAACCTTACTTACCACCAATTTGACTACAAGTCTGGTACGGTTATATATTATATGCATGTTACTACACAACGTAAAAGCCGACTTTGTTGTTTATGTATGCCCAAAAACGGAAAAACACTTGAATTGGCTGTGTTTGAAAGAAAAAAAAGGTTGGAATTCAAAGGGAAACTGGGTTCAAACCAGATTTATTGCTCCACTAATGGGAATTGTTGCCTTTTTAGACCCGATCCGGAAAAGTGAAATGCTAAAGCTGGTTGAAAAAGGTGTAATAGATATGATTGTACATATAAATATGTTGGTTTTTTGTTTGATTTTGCACTGTGCAGTCAGAAATTTGATTTTGTTATTTTGGGGATCTAGTGTTTCTTATAATGAGAGTCCAAATTTTTGTAAGTTTAAGGTCAAAAAGACTAGTTTATAGAAACTGGTAAGTCTATTTCAAACATGACTTTACAAATTCTTAGCTATTTTCCAGCATTTTTTTCATAACATACATCAAAGTTTAGGCTATAACAATATAATTTTTGAAATCTTCATATTTTGCTTCAAACTTAATCAATTTGACTGAAATTTTATAATCTATACCACTCTGTAGTGCTTTATATAAAATATGTTTAACTTTCTTAATTATTAGATTGGGCGGGATAAAACCGATTAAAGAAGAAGAGTCTTTAGGTTAATATCTAACCCAGTTTAAACCCTTGTAATTCTGTTGCCAGAAATTAGAAACCAAAATCTTGTGGTAAAAAGTTAACAGAGAGTACCAATTTTCTAATTCTTTGCTTGTCATGGCCCTAAATTATTACCTAATTTTACAATTATACCCAAAAGTTTCTCAAAAATGCCGTCAAAACCATGTAAAACAATATAAATTCGTAGCCCTTTATGCTAATCTCTTTCCGTTTTCGTATAGTCCAAATTCAAATTCACTGTATAGTCCAGCGCCGCTGGCATTCCCAAATTTAGGACTAATATTAGCAAAAACTGTTCGTGGAAAGTAATAAATTCGCCGTCTCCACGAGATATTTATGTTTTCTTTTTTGGAACGGCAGAGTAAAAACGGAACGTTCAGCTTTCGTTATGTTATTCTATCGCGCGGTTTTTATGGCAGGAGGTAAACAAACGGCATCTAATGCGTTTTTTGGGCTTTGAATTGGTAAAGGCCAGTCCTTTTGGGTGTTAAGCTGAAAGGTTGGGTAATGTGATGCTTTGGATGGTAAAAGGTAATATAAAACATCATGGTTGAAATTATAGTTTTAGTTTAGTAGTAAAACTCTATTTTCAACAGTAATTTCAAGATTTCGAAGTTGTAATTACAGTAAATTAGCGCGACGTACAGCCGACGATTTGGTCCCGACACGAAAGTGTTAGCGGGAATTTCGTTCTTTTTTTGATTCGAGTTCGCAAAATTATTTTGAAATTTTTTCGTTACTGTTTTCCTCTGGTTTTCAACATCGAAAACGACATGAAAATGAGCACAAATTTAACTTTTTCTCGATTTTGATGTTGTACTAGGTTTATATTGTTATAGCTTCAAACTTTTATTAAAAACTCGGGTTTTCTTCAAACTTTTATAGCCTACACATTGTGTAAACTTTCATCATACTATTCATAACAGTTCCCCAATTTTCCTACGTTTTTGATCAATCCAAAACTATAATATTAGCCGTAGCACACGTCAATCTAGTATAATATCGTTTTTCCTTGTAAAACATTCTTGTTCGGGGAATGAGTAATACTAGAACGGAGGAGAGAACGTTGAGGTGTTTCCTGGGCGTCCTCTTTTCACCTCTGCTTGGCCCACTGATACTTTTTTTATTATTTTTTTCTTGTTTTTGTCCGTTCGAGGCCGTTACGATGGGCTTCGAAGTTGTTTTTGAAACGTTTTTGGCGGGGGACGGGGAATTTGGATGTTTGAAAGAGAAAACAAGTCTTTACGGATTATGGTCTGCATGTTTTTGATAACTCTAATTGTTTTAGACGGTTAGGAGTTATGGATTCTACTTGTTTTTGGCTTGTATTCGATATTAAGGGTGTTTACTTGTTAAGGGCAAGTTTTTGCGTGTTTTTTTGTTATTTTTTAGAATGCTTTTATAGGTTTTACAAAGTTCATAGATTGTTTTATCTGTTTTGGCAGGTGTTTTGTAAATTTGATGCTTTTTGAACTTGTTTTTGATTAATTTTGGCTTCTTGGTTAAGAATGATATTGTTTTTGATATGTCGTGTTGAAAGTTTTGTATTTTAGAATAATTTTTCTTTTTTCAGTACCAAGATGTCACAGAAAACATCAAGAAAAACAGTGACGGTGCGTACAAGTAGTGTAGCTAGTAACGTTTTGCCAGACGAGTCATTCGAACAGTCGTAAGTTTATTTGTTATTGTTGTTGTGTTTTTAGGTGTAAATCTACGTTACTTTGCTCGTATTACTTAAAAGTCTTATTGATGTTACTTTGGTCTTTGGAATTGGTAGAACAAGTTGTTTAAAGCCTTTTGCATATTAAATTATTATGGTTAATATATTAATATTTTAGAGATAGTTTCGGATCAACATCATCACGTTTGACACGCTCAAGAGTGGAAGAAAAACAGCGACTTTCTGGATTGAATGATCGTTTGGCTGGATATATTGAGGTAAGCGTCTTATCAAGATTTTTTGAAATTGCAGTATATTATACTTACTTTTATGAGAAAATTTAACTTTTCTATATCTTATGGTTTTTAGAAAGTCCGAAACCTTGAACAGGAGAATGAGCGTCTTCAGGCGACAATTAGGGAAGTGGAAGTAACAGAAAAAAGAGTTCGTGAGGACAAGCACAGCGAATGGAAGGATAAAGTTGATGAGCTAAGGCAACAGTTGGAAACTGCGAATCAGGAGAGAGCCAGGTAAGCTCTCATGCTTATGTTTATTAACTTAACATGGCTCAGACTGATTTTAATTAAATTTTGGATATAATTTTAAACTTTCAACTTCAGAGCTGACATGGAGAAGAAAAAGGCCGCAAACGAATGCGATGATATCAAAGCCAAATTCGGAAAGTTGGAGCGAGATTTAAAGAACGCCACGAATGACCGTGATCATTTAGGTGATCAGGTTAACGATCTAAAGGCCGACAACAAACGTCTTGAAAACTTGAAGAACAAGTACCTGAAAGAGAGAGATGATCTGAAGAGAGATGTAGACGAAGCTCTGGGATCAATTGAGAACCTGAAACAACAAATTGAAGATGAATTCCTGATTAGAAACCGTCTCACAGATGAGAACTCGGCTTTGAGGGAAGACATTGAGATGTTGAAGAGACTTCATGAGAACGAACTTGAAGATGTTTACAAGAGAAAGGAAGTTGAATTGACCACAGTGCAACGTCAGTACGATCACAAGGTCAATGATGCTGTGAAACTGCGAGTGAAACAACTCCGCGAAGATTTTGACGTGAGACTCCGTGAATCTCGTCAAGAGGTCGAAGCAAAATGGCATCAGCGCCTGGAAGATGCTCTCAAGGGTTCAGAAGGCAAAGAAGCTCATGTTGTGGAACTTCGGGAATCAAACAGCCAGCTCAGAAGATTGAAGAAGGAATTTGAGGATGAGAATGCACGTCTGAAGAGAAACCAAGAGGAATTGCAATTCAAGGTTAAGGATCTTGAAGGACAGTTGAGATTGGTACAGGAGAAGCTGAAGGTTAAGGATGAGCAGAACGAGAAGTTGAAGCAAGAGGTGGAGGGTCTGAGAGATGATTACCAAGACTTGTTGGATATTAAAGTGCAATTGGACAACGAGTTGGCTACGTATCACGAACTGTTGCAAAGTGAAGAGACGCGGTAGGTTTTTTTTGAGTTTTTGAAATCTATTTCTTTAATCTTTTTTGAGCTTTTTATAATATTATAGCTTGTGATTCACTGTTTTTTGACATACTATATGACATCCTTTTTTAGTCTCAAAATTCGAACCACCGATGACTCTCAAGACCTCGGTGACGACGACGAAGATGACGAGAACGGCCTTCACGTCAGCTTTAACGAAGACAACTTAGCCAGAACTCGCGGCTCACTGAACCAGTCCAGTCGATCGGACCAAGGCTCAGCTCGTCGTGGCGTGAAAAGAAGAAGATTACAGGAAGAGAGCTACTTCGAAGGCAGTGGAAGATATGAAAAGACGGCCGATGTCTACAGAACACATCAGGAAGCCAAGGGAGATGTTGTCATCGGTGATGTGGATGAGGATGGACGCTTCGTGAAGCTGGAGAACAAAGGAGACGAAGATATTGTTCTGGGTGGATGGATTGTCGAAGCTCAGGATAATGATCAGATCGTGACTTTCAAGTTCCATTCCAGACAGACCATCAAGGCTGGTCAAACGGCTACGGTAAGGAATGGCATTTTGAATTTTTTGAAAGCGGGTTTTGAGCATTACTGTTTAATGGGTAATGCTGAGTTATCTTTAGGTTATTTTAAGTAATTGTGGCTGGCTTCATTGAATATGAATAATATTGACTTATATTGTTGTACATTGTGAGTAATATTAACCTATTTTCATTTACGGGATGTAAATGAAATTGTTATAGATCTGGTCCGCCAACCTCACCGACCGCACAAACGAACCAGGAAGCAACCTGACCTTGAAGAATCAGCAATGGCCTCGAGGGGACGAACGCCGAATCCGACTGGTTGATTTGAATTCTGAGGAGCAAGCCCTGTACGAAAAGTTCCGCCGAACTCACGCTGTGGGCGACGCGAACGGCGAAGAACGTTGCTCTATCATGTAGATCCACTACCGTATTACTGTTACACCTTGTTTTAATCACTCGATTTTGATTACAGTTATTTTCTAATTTGAGTTTAAATGGAATGATTTATGAAAAGATTCTTTACGTTATACTTGATTTCATCGTAATCTTCTACTACGTTTTTCTTGGTTCAATGTTCATTTAAGTTCGATTTTCATATTCATGGTCTATTGGTATTGTTACAGTAAATTTGTTAACGGATCTATTCTTTATAATGCTATATTCATCATGCTTAATGGTCGTATAAAGTATTTCTTATCGTAATTGTGTTGGTCTTGAAGTGTTGTCATGCTTTAATGGTACTTTTTGGGTTGTTTTATTGGGTTTTAAGGTTGTTTTTGATTTTTTTTTGAAATTTTAACGTAAATTAAAGTTTTTTGGCTAATTTTTTTTTTGAAAAATGAATTTTTGGTCGATTTTTGCGTAAAAATAGAAGTTTAGGTAATAAAAGATTGTTTGGCCTAAAATTTTATACGTTTTGGTATTAAATATGTCAAAAATGAAAAAAAAACCGCCCATAAAGTACTGTTACCTTTTCTTCTTCACACTCCCTTTCAATTCTATCAGTATCATTTGTTTCTTTTGCTACGCACTTGTCGTACAGTTTCTTCTCAACACAAAACGGAGAGTTTTTGTTTTTCTTTATGATTTTTTTTGAAAAAGAGGTCTCATGTTAAAGTTGTATCGTAAATCTGCCGTTATTTCAATTTTCGTCGAGTAAACAGTTTACTGTCAAGTTAGTTTGGCTCAATATTTGATGGACTTTCATACAATATTTGATGGTATACAAAGAGCTAATGAACTATCTTTATCGCATAGCAATAAGGTTGGAGTAGACCTATAAACGAGCCAAACAAATTTTTTGGCTAGGCTCACATCTGCCGGCTCGTTTCTTTTCAATTTTGCATTGACTTGGTCTGCGAGTCAAATCTTCCGTTGGGGGACCTGAGCTGTGCCCCTAGGCTGTTGCTTGGGACTCGCACCTACATGTGCCGGCTCAGGCCCTTCCAACTTTGCTTTGGCCGAGGCCGGTTTAGGCTTATTGATAGGTATTTTTACAAGTCAAATCTTTCGTTGCGGGACCTAACATGAGCTTCTGAGGCCTTGCTTTGGGCTGTAGGGTATCTTTCGAATTTGTCTTGGTTCAGGCGATGCGGGGTTGCGCCTAGTAGCCCCAACCTTCTCCCTCTTTGGTTTTTTAAGTCTAGCAATGATAAGTGGAGAGGAGAGTTGCCGACAATAAGAATTTAGTTTTGGCGTCTTCCCAACTACAGTAGTGTATAGCTTCCAGACTTAAAAATAGCGGTCTCTTGGCATCCGAACCAATTAAAGATAATCTGTCAATGTTATGGAAGGAAGAACAATATGTTTTGGCTAATGGTTTTTTACATAAAACATAAAAACAAAGAAAAACATTTTTTTGAATTACAATACTTTTTTGACTTACTATTTTTTTGAAAACTATATTCTTGGGTTTACTTTACATTGTTTATGATGTAAGTTGAAGAAGGGAAAAATTTTTATATTATAGTAGACTCTGTACTGTGCCTTATAGTAGGCTTAACGTCATTTCAAATTTATATTCATCTTGTTGTAGGCTTAAACCAATTCAAATTTAGGTAAAAACCACCGACTCAGCTCGCTACACCTACGCCACAAACACTGAATTCATTGGCAATTCCGTCAACGAAACTGTGGACGATATAAACCAGTGTGCTTACGATGCTTATGCTGGTAATTACACAGCATTTGGCTTTTGTTCATCTGCGTCGTTTTGTAAAATGTACAATATAACATCAAGTTACAATAGAAACCAAGCAGATGGATGTGCATATTATGTTAGAAATGACAGTCAACCAGATCAATGTATGGATAAGACTGAAGTTGCTACGGTACTGAAAAGCGAAGGTATGACAGGGCTGGGGTGAAGGTAAATTAATGATAGGGCAAGATTAGGCAAATCTATGTTAAGGGGAGAACAATTTTAGGTTAGAGTTAAGAGTACACTAGCTAGTGTAGAAATGTTATGAAGCTCATTTTATATTATTATATTTAGGTATTTATCTTTAAGTTTTTTTGGTTTTAAAAATGTATTTTGTATTACAGTATACGACAATGGAAACTGTCCAACTGGTTTTACCTATAATGCAAGTATGAACTTCTGTTATGCAAACATGGTACGTTATCTTGCTATAATAAACACCAAATACTAACCTGTTGATGTGAAGTAACAATAAACTTTAGCTAACATTTGATAGTTTTGAACATTTTAGTCAGAATCAGATTGTAATAAGTACAATGGTTCCTGGAGGTACCCATATATGGAGTACGGACAATATCAATGTGCTTTATATGGAAGCTCGGAAAGTAGTCTATTAGTTTTTTGTTAGTCAATAGGTTAAGGAAAGAGCTAAAACTATGACCATTGCGAGGGCTAGAGCTAAGGCTAGGACTAAGACTAGGACTAATTAAGAGCTAGCTTAGCTTAGGCTTGACATTAGGCTTAGACTATTCAAATAAAAAGTTGCTAGTACTGTGTGCAATGAACGCTCATACATTACAGACCTGTACGTCGATGACTATGCATGTCAAAACTTTGGATCAACAATACAAATATTTAACAAAGTGGCCTATTGTTATACAATTCTTGCTATACCTGATATTGTAAGTTACATTAATTCAATTCTGTTTCTCAATTCATTATTAAAGGCTTTTAAAAGCAAAGTTTGTTGCAGTTGAGCACAATGGTGACAATAGTAAACCAAGATGGATGTAACACTCTCTACGATGCTTCGGTAAACAACTTGAAGATAGGTAGTGCTTTGGAAATGGACTGGATATTTGGTAGGAACACTGCTTTTTAAGTTTTTGAATGTGACATTGTGAGTGATAAAAGGTCTGCAACAACTTACAGATACTTTGTATTATTATATGTTTGTACAATTACTCTGTAAAAGTGCATATTTTTCTAGCGACATTTGGCGCAGTAAGTGCTGGCGGCTACCGAGTGTCCGATACAAAATTTCTCAACTATGACAATACTACGGTAAGTATATTACATTGACTATGGCTATGTTCTGATCAGTTTCATTTCGAGCTTCGAAGCTGGTGCCGTCGCTGGAATTTATAAAAATTCTAGCCGGACCTGAAACCGGAGTCATGAAACTTCAAATTTCAGTAGTAGGCCGTTTTTCCTCTCGGAGCTAAAATTTAAAGAAAAACGGTTCCAACGCCAGAAATTTTAAAGTAGTTAATTTTGGTTGTTACATTTATTATCTTGCAGTACTATCTTTATTACAGTTTAATGCGTATGGCAAGACCATTCAAGACAAAACTAATACATTTATAGTTTTCACCAGTGGTAAGTAGGCTTTTTAGAACTTGATTTCAATAGTTTTTTCTATTTTTTAAATTTTGCTTTGTTTTGTGGTTTATTGAGTGAATATAATATAATATATTCCATTTAATTTCCCATCTTTTATGTTACAGATGGTCAGCTGACAACGTCCAATTCTATAAGTTATCTGTTGTGTCGCTACAGAGCTATGACAGTGGGATGTTAATAACCTTTTTTTATCAAACAAAACTTTAGTAGATGTTTTTAAGTTTTATATTATCAAAATATCAATAAAAGTGATTTAAACGTCTTGATTTTCTAATTCAAACTTTTGCTCAAATTAATTTTTGTCGTTATAAAGGAGTTTCGGTGTAAAGGAGTTTTAAATGCACTGTGTAGTGGTAGACGGGAAGTTAAAAGTTGCTTGTTATGCGGAAATTCCCGTGTATAAAAGTTCGTTATACAGAAGTTCTACTGTATTTTTATATATTATAGTGGCTAGTCATAGTTTCCAAATTTAATACCTCACTCTGGTTTCAGCTCCGGATTCGTGACCGTGCTGGCTTCGGAAGACTTTACTGAAATTCTACATTTTTTGGCTCATGCTCTTTTTTTTTAACTTTTGCTCTGGCTCCAGCTTCAAGACCCTTGGACACTCTGTAACTGAATACAGTAGAAAACATGTATAAGGAACTTCTCTATAACAAAAATTTCATATAACGAACAACCTTTAAATCTCTGTGCAGTTCCTTATACAGTAGTTTCACTGCGAAAGATCGTTCCAAATTTACCTTTGACATAAATATAGTTGTTTCAAATTCAATAATTTGGTCCCTATAAATATGTCAACTAATAGTGCAAATAAAAACTCTAGACCAATTCAAAATTTTTTGTTTAATAGCAAAATATGTTAAATTTGAAATTGTCGGCACTGTGCGTTGCTAGGAATCCCACCATATTTGTTTGGTATTCGAATTCGAATAGCGAGAAAATGCGCTAAAATAGTTTTTTTGTTTTGTTTTTTACAATTTGAGATCGAAAAGTGTCATTTGTGGTTTTGACATTGTTCTTGAGAGATTTCAAGAGGAAGTATTTTTTAAATCGGGTTTTTTAACAAGGAAAGTACCCAACCTGCTTCGTTCAGAAGGTAGCTCAAATTTTTTTCATGAATTTATTGTACCATCAATAGTATCCATGAAAATTTTTAGCTTGCGCTTTTGAGTTTTAAATTTGAAATATTTGAACTTATCCTAAATTTGACAAATATGGCATTGTGTTTCAAGCACTTGGTTCGACTTTCCAGACAAGGCACGCTTACAAATTAAAAAAAAATTCATTTGAAAGTTTTTTACTAGTATATCAGAGAAAAACACATAAAAGTCAAAAAATGACAGTTATAAGCTTGAAACACAATGCCTATTTGGCGGGAAGTTCAAAACTTAATTTTTTGATCCCGATTTTTTCGAGATTTCCTGGAAAGGACAGTTTAGTACTGTGCTGAAGGTTGTATATTTACATGATCTTCCTATATAAAAAGGTTGGAGTTAATCAGAGCGGGGCAGGCTGGTCGCTTTGCTTGTAAATTAAAAATTTTAGCTGACTGCTGACTTACGACAATTTTTTAGTCTAAACTCTTTAAAATCTACATTTTTTAGCCGCCCCCACCCATAAAATGAAATTCTTATCTTCACATAAGACCACCATACTCACCTTCATCATTATCACATTATGCATCACGACGACCATCGTATCTTGCGCTCGATATACACAAGCTGTAAGTATACGCTTCTATGGATCAGATACGTCAGAAACCGCGGACACAGTAGAAGATTGTGCTCAAATGGCATTGGAAGCGACGGCTGAAGGCTTTGGCTACTGTGAGTCGAACAGTACGTGTATGTTGTTCACTGACATATACGGCTATGCTACTGGGAACGATGCGTGTTACTTTTACATACGAAAGGATGATCAACCAGATGAGTGTGCGTCTACATCAGACATGACTTCTGCGTTGCATGACTTGGTATATGATAACGGGGATTGTCCTACTGGGTTCACCTACAATAGCACTGCTCAGTTTTGTTATTCTAACATGGTAAGTTGGAGAGGTTTAGTTATAACTCATAAGAGAGAAAAGGAATGATTTTTAAGGGAAAAAAGGTCCTAACCTTAGTAGAGATACCATAGTTTCCGAATATAAATTACCAGAACAATACTGAATTACAGACCCAAGATGAATGTAGCATGTACAGTGCAACGTGGCGATATCCGTACATGCCAGTATCGCAAACACCTTGTGCTTTATATGGCAGCTCTCAAAGTAAGCAAGCTTGTAATAAATCGTACCCCTTGGCCAGAGCTCTAGTACAGAGCCCTAGTCCAGAGCCCTGTCCTGTTTTGCTCTAGACATAGCTTTAACCTACTCTGCCTCACCCTAGGTCTTGTTTAGCTTCATCGTACTCTGTTTTCTATGTAATGTGCCTTATGTCTAATTTTATCTAATTTTATAGCCGAATTTCTGGATGACTATGCATGTGAAAATTATGGGTCTAAACTGCAAATCTTCCAAGGAAGCGCCTACTGTTATGTTCGAGTTGCAGTGACAACAGCGGTAGGTTTTAGATCTAATCTGTGTACAAAGTGACATCTTATGCGTCATGCAACCAAAACTATTTTTTTAAAAAAGCTGCCATTTAAAGAATAAATTGTTTAGCTAGCCGAAAATGCGTCTGTAGTAACAGCAAACGGTTGTTCCTGGTTGTACGATGTAAATTCGAATACGATAAAGGTTGGCAGCCAGCTGGAGATCGACTTTATTCATGGTAAGCGGGCAGTCTTGCTCATTTTTACGTTCCTACACACCAAGTTTAAAATTTTTTTTAATTTAAAAATTTTTACCTTTAAATTTAAAAAAAAATTATCGATAACATAAACATTAATTTAGTCTCATATGGCACCGTGATGATTGGTGGCTACAGTGCTGGCTACACCTTAGGCAGCATAACAATAAACGAAGCTAGCGACTACAAATTCTACGATAATTCGTCGGCTTCTGCCTATCTGGATCAAAGCACAATATCTTCGAGTACGCCTGGCTTCATGTACACTACAGGAAGTGAGTTGACATTGCCATGACAGCCTTTTCTAAAATATAACTTTTTTGTTACTTCAAAAGTAAATTTTTGTTAATTTCAAAATTTTAAAATCAAAATTTTTACATTTAGCTATTGTGAACACCACCAGCTCGTTACCTTCGTCCTTTTTGATTTGCAAATCAGATGCAGTTGCTGCGCAATGTTAACTAAATTATGTAAAACTTATCTATCTATAACTAATGTTGTATTTGCACGTGGTAATCTAAAATTTAATAAACATGGTGGCCACATTACAATAAAAAATCCAAAACATTAACCAAAAATCTGATGTTAACCTTGTTATGTTTAGTGAATATTTTCACCCTGATAAAAAATAAAAAAATAGTCAAATAGAAATGCAATATAAAGGCGCTAGGACATATGCGGTTTTTGGACATTTGCGGATTTTTTAAAGGTTTTTTTTTATTTTTTACTTAATTTATTTGTAGTATGGTACTAAATTGTACTAAAGTTTAAATTGGTGCTGTTTTAACATAACAGTACCTTTTTGGGCTTTTAGTACCATTCAGTACCAAAAAATATAAAACAGTACCAATTTAAAAATTTATTACTATTTAGCACTAAAACATATTAAAACAGTACCAATTTACACTTTAGTACCTTTTAGTACCATAATACAACTAAATTAACTAAAAAATAAAAAAAACCCCTTTAAAAAATCCGCGAATGTCCAAAATCCTCAAGTGTCCAAAGACCGAAGATCCGCAAGTGTCTAAAAACCGCAGATCCGCAAATGTCCAAAAACCGCATTTGTTCTAGCGCCAATATAAAGCCCATACTTCAAGCAATATTTCAATAACAATTTGATCAAAATAGCGAATGGGTCCTTATTAAAATTATAATATAATTGTAATTGCATTATAAAGTTTAATTTTGCAATTTAAAATTGTTTAATTTATTACAAGTAATGTTACTATATAGAAGTTTTGTCGTTTTAAGTGTGGAAACCGCCGATTTACATGTTTTTCCACACGCTGAGTTCAAAAAAATGTTAATTTTATTAACTATTTATTCATACTGTAGTTTCTTTCTAGTAGTGTTAGAGAGTTATGCGCAGGCTTGGACGCAGGGCAGGGTGCCCTGTACCATGCCCTGTTACAGGGCATGGTAGGGCATGGTATAGGGCATGTTTTAAAAATTTTTTACAGGGCATGGTAGGGCATGGTATAGCTTGGAACAGGGCAGGGCATAGCATATGCCCTGCATTACCCTGCAAATGCCCTGTTTGTGCCATGGTAAGTTTTGGCGGACGCCTCCGCCGAGCGGTCGATAATCAGCGGACGCCATAACTTATTTAGTTTAGTAGCTATAAATATGTAGTTAAATTCAGAAGTTATTATATTTCATAGGCTACAAATAAGAGCATAGTTTTAAGATTTTAAAAGTAGTATTGTTATCGACCGGTTGATAATTTTTAGTATATTTTAATTGCAAATTTTATATATATATTCTTATCGCTCTGTTGTTCTGAATCGTACAGAAATTACGTTAGGTACAATTCTTAGCAAAAAACGTTGTTTTTTGTACAAATTAAATATTTGTTAATTATCGACCGGTCTATGAAAATATTGCTTTCAAAAACATAAATTACTGCCTTAACGTGTAGATTATAACAGATAACAACTTCTGCACTTAAATACATGTTTCTAGCTGCTAAACTAACCAAGCTATGGCGTCCGCCGATTATCGACTACTCGGCGGAGGCGTCCGCCTAAATATACCCAAATGCCCTGTAAATACCCTGTAAATGCCCTGATGCCCTGCAGGGCAAGGGCATGGTAGGGCAGGGCATGAAAGTCGAATGCCCTGTACAGGGCAGGGCATTGCAGTTCACAGGGCATGGCATGGAAATTTGCCCATGCCCTGCCCTGTGTCCAAGCCTGGTTATGCGTCCCTTAGGGCGGCGGGAAATTAGGCAATAAGGGCGGCAAAACAATAGCTAACTTAGCGGCCAGCTATATTATCAGCCATCAAAAATTTACCCAGAGGCGTTCGGCCAAAGCGCATGGTGATAACAAAAACGACTTTCCAGCAATTCAACGCGTGGCTAAATCTTTTGATACAGGGTTCAGAAGATGCATGTACAAATCATTCTTATACTATCAGTTTCGTAGCGATTACTTTTGGCCCTGGGAGGTTGAAGCAGCCATGTCTTACGGTTCTGGGCTTGGGACAGGGGTAGTTGTGCGCGGTGTCTGTTCCTCTCCAACGTCTTGTTCGTCGTCGAGCATTATTTTTCATCAAGAACGCGAATTGGAGGCAGGGCCAGGGTTTGGGTTTGCACGGCGCGGACGTCCGGCGTTGCGTTGTTGTTTTATGAACTCAACACAGCTGGAGTCCGAGAGAATGAGTTCAATTTTGTCTTCTTCCGGTGCGTCAGTAGCGATGTAGTTGCTGTTTTTTTACCAACGCTGTAACATTTCACCTGAAATTTTGAAATTATCGCAAAACAATTTTTTCGGTTGTTAATAAAACGAATGTCAAAAAAACCGAAAACCCTATGCGGCCATTTTGCATTTAAAAACAGATAAAATATTAAAAGGATTTTTTAAAATTTTTTATCCAAAATTTATTGATTTTTGCATGGCTACAATATTTTTTATAATAAGGGTATTCCCCGAATGCTGTCAAGCGTACTACAAAGTTGGTGTTTCCACCATGCAGGTGGTGCGATAGAGTTTGTTGTGTAAACTAGTTGTAGTATTTACGATATAGATTCAGGCTTCGATGTTGACGGACCTGAAACAATTCGGGCTCGGTGGCCAAGGTCGCCTCATCCATTGATTCTGAAATTATTTACATTTTTTTAAACGATCGTATCGGGAATGTATGAAAAATATCACAAATATTCAAAAATTAACAAAACCTTAACTAGACATGAGAAACGGGCCGGGCCGGCCCTGAGCACAATTTCGATTGGGCCGGGCCTAACATTCAGGCTCGGCCCGTTTCTCATGTCTAACCTTAACCGCCATCTTTCAGCGGTTTTTACTAGCAGAATGATGCAGTTGGCCTATGCAGATTTCCAGAAGACGGTCTTAAGGTGTTTTTTCCTTAGTTTTTTCTTGTTGTACAGTAAAAGGGCATGCGGGGGTCCGCCTTGTGGCTGGGCTGTCCCGTCAGCATCTCTCTGTGTGGTGGACCCAAGAATCGCGTTCCTTGGCCGACGCGAGTTTTCGCGTCTTTGTTATCTTATGTGTTCTGCCCAAAGCCACTAATTTATGCGTCCGTGTTTTGAACTTCTGGTTTAGGGATATCAGTACTTCAACAAAAACTAACACTTCCATAATGATCTGAACTATAATTGCTGGATCAGCTTTTATGAGAACAAGTTTTCTTCTTTGTTGCAGAATGCCAAGGTTTTCTTAAATATTTTTATTTTCTTTTTTCTCGAGCTTTGGCCGATAATTCCCTGATTTTGGCCGAGTTAAACATGAACTTTTACTTTAAATACCAACGCTGTAAGTTTATTTTACCACAAAATAATTTTTTACTGTGTTTTTATAATTTCTTTCATTTTTAGCTCTGTCAATCGACGCGAACGGTCCCTTTTGCTGGGACTCTCTGAACCGTGAGTTTGCTTCACGAAAACGCTGAAAACACTACAAGAACGAAGCTGTATTCCGAGTTAATAACGAGGAAAGGTACGTTTAAATATTGGTTAGCCGTAAAAAGAGGTAGAACTTTTGATTTGTGGCCAAAATTGAGGTGAACTTCACGTTTTTCGACGAAATATCTGAAGAAACTTTAAAATATTTACAATTTTATATTGAAATTTAAGGTTTTTTTTGCTTTTCATGTTGTACGTGTTAAAAATTGCTTTTTTAGATAGAAATCGACAGTAGTTTACTATAAAATACGATCCCAATGCCGATAATTGGATGGGTGGACATCGTGATATTGTTATTGGTCGGCGGAACTTTAGGCTTAAATTACATCAATGGATGCAGTAAACCGGCTCAGCACAAAAAAGGTAGAATGCTACAATTTATTTTCTTTTGGTTATGTTTTAAGTAATGGAATGCTTAAATTATAAGGTTTAGGTATTAAATTCATGGTAGTTTTACTTTTCGAGTTTTCTGAAAACTGAAAGATTTATATCAAAAATAAAAATATATGTATTGTAAAGCATAAAAAGGAGTATGTAATGTGACAATTTCGTATTTATATATTGTCTTTGAAAGAAGTTGTGATCATTTTAATAAGTCGAAAAGCGAAAAAAGTTCGATTCCGCGTGGAAATCAAGCTTCTTTTGGGTTTCTGTGCACTATAACTCTTTGTAAATTAATGTTTTGGTTAAGAAACTTTTAGAATAAAATAACCAGCTTGTTTTCTACATGACAAACAACTCTTTTTTCAATTTTAGGCAAGTCTAATAAGTCCAAGAACAAAAAGAAGAAGAGCAGCAAGAAAGGAAGTGATAAGAAGAAGGGCAAAACCATGAGAACTGATGGAAAATCAGCCATTGATGATGTTGACGAGGATCCGGATTTGAAATCTCGTAGCAATTATGACATTGACACTCCATGCAGTGAGGAACATGTTGATGAAGATGGGAAGGACAAACCGGCTGCTGTAAAGGGTAAAGCTGCTGGTACTGGTACAGCTGGTGTTACAAGTAAGAAATTTTATTTAATTTTGTAGGGACTTTTCGGGTTAATTTTGGAATAGTACTACTGGTGCAAATACGTTGTTTTTAAATTTTAAAAACAACAATGTTATTTTAGGCGCAACCAACGGTACAGCTGGCTCGCTAACAGCTGGAACTCCCACTAAGACTCGACCAGAAAGCAAAGGAAGTGCAGAAAGTGGCAATGAAGCAACAGGAGTTCAGGATGCGGACCCAACCCCAGAAAAATCTCAAAAAGGTCATGGCAAGGCGGCCGGTGGCCACAAAACTCAGGACCAGCCAACCAACGGTACCACTTGTACGTCGCCGGAGGGTAGTGATAAAGAAGTCAAAAAAGAATCGATAAGAAAGCCACACCCAACTGTGACCACGCAAGCTACGGCTGGTACACCTGTCGAAGGCCGAGGAGAGAAGAAGGGTCTAAAGAAGCATCAGAAGGCGAAGCCGAGCGAAGGAAAACTAACTCGAACACGGACTCACGAGAAAGCGGACAACGAATCCTGGTCGCCTGTTGCAGGAACTCCTGTAGCCAACACGGCACCTACGCTGCAGAAGTCGAATTCTGAATGAGAAAATTTGAATAAATTTTTACATAAAAGAGGGGAGATATTTTTATATTGATATCAGGTTTGATTTACCTGTTGGAACTAATTTACTTGTTATGGCTGGGATTTTCTTTTAAAAATTTGTGTTTTTTAAGTTCTATATGAACATATAGTATATTGTTTTACACTCTTGACGTCCCAAGTTCGTCTCTAAATTAGAACGATCGATTGTGGTGTTTCGTCAAAGTGAACGTGATTTTTAATTTGTGGTCGATTTATATGTCGACAGTTCGTGTTAGAAATACTTTAGGCTTGCAATTTCTCCGAGGTTATTACCTAAAATACACATTTTTTATCTTTTTTGTTGGGTTTTTAAATTATTTTTACGTGTTTTGCAGTGCTTTTGACTAATTTTGACCTCTTTCTCAATTATAATATCGTGTTTGACAATTCGCGTTATAGTTTTTATACTTTTGAATAATTTAGTATCGTTTCAGCATAATAATGTTACACAAGACCGGGAGGACGTCCAAGAAGGTTTCTAAAGGCCCTTTTATAGTATAAATCTTCAGCTAACAGGGATCACAGCGGGCAGAGTTCTTTCCGGACCGGACGCAAAAGGCAAAACTTTGAGAGCGGGGCAGGTCGGTACTTTCGTTGTAAGCCAATTGAAGAAAAGGTAATTATTTTTATTTTTTGTTCATTTTTGAACAGAGTTATGACATGTCACACTTGAACCGCTGTCTGTTGACTAGTCGCTTCTGGAATCCGCACCAGTCGACGCTATGATCGATCAAATAATGTTGTTCACGACGAATTGCTTTTTTTGCAAGGATTCGGCGATGAAAAATAAACTTTTTGATAAACGCTTATGTTAGGTTTTGGTCGACCTTCACAACAAACTCTTGAGAAGATTGTTGGTTAGTTGTGTGCTGAACTTTCAGCTAGATATTGATGGTTTTTAGGGGTTTCGAAGGTTGGGGAGCTTTGGGCAATTTATATTATCTTTTCCAGCTTTTAAAGATAGGATAAATCTGATATTGTTTATGTTGGAGTTGCTTTATATCAATATTTTAGTTTATTTAAGGTTAGTTGCGTTGCTATAGACATAACTATGTTATACTTTCTTTAAGCCCTCTTGGTTTATATCTATATAAGCTTAATTCTATTGATATAGGCTCAGGTAGAATAATCTATGTTTTGACAGATCTACCTAGGTTAGCATGTGTTGTTTTACACTAGTTTAGATATCTCGTTTTAAAGTAGCAAACTCTTAAAATAACAAGTTTAAATTTAAAATTTTTTGTTTTGACAAGTTATAAAGTTGAATTTTCGCAACAAACTTTGAAAAACCACTTTTAAAAGTAGGCGATACGGGTTTGGTAATCGTCTCATCTTGTTTTAGTTAGTATTTCATAATCGTTTATATTATTAGCTTGTTTTCTTAAAGGACTAGTCTTTTTTCTCAAATTTTTGTCTTTGAGTATGTAGTAATAGTGTTTGTCCTTGAGTATATGAAGTTTCAAAAGATGAAAAGTTTGTGAAAAAAAAACGGATATTACACTTGCCTTACTGGTCATTTCAAAAGTTTCATCGTTACTTTAAGAACTCAATGACCTTGTTTTCTTTAGCTGATACACCATTAGGCTATTATATATCATAATTCAATTTTACTAGATCAGAATATAGAATGAAGGATGTAGGTATCATTAATATTATATAGCGATGTAAATATCAATCTTATTACATAATAGAATAATGTAGGCATCAACAATATTGTAGAATGATGTAAGTATCAACAATATCACAGAATGATGTAGGCATCGTTCCAATGACCGTTCTTTTTTGTTATTGATAACGAAAATGTGACTTGATCGTATTGTTACAACTACAGTCTTCGAATAAAGTTGGTTGTAATAACGGTCTGTTTGTATGTTATAGTGTAAAAAATTTATTTATATGTTTGGATTACTGTAGGGTTTGTTTACAAAAGAGAATTGAACTCTTGGGTAGGAGGGTAGGGTAGGAAGGGGTAATAAACGTGCGATTTGTGACTTGAAATTTAAAAAAATAGGTGGGGCCTGGCCTAATTTACTATTCAAGTTTAGTTGTATCTTAACTTAAGCCTAGCTTAACCCTAGGCATATACATAGCTTTAACCTTGACCTTAGCTCTACCCCTAGCCTCAGCTCTAGCTTCAGCTCTAGCCACAGTCCTAGCCTCAGCCCTAGCTTTAGTCTCCTCTAGTATCAGCTCTTGTTTTTGCTCTAGCCGTAGCCTAAGCCTTAGATTTGGTCTATATTTGCTTTAACAAAACCTGTCCTAGTCTTAAATTACCTCTCCTCACCACACGGCCACACCCTACCCTACTCGTTATTTCTTTACTCTAATTTACTCCATCTTACTCTTACCTTGGCTATACCACTTGTATATGTATGGTGAGCAACGCATGAAGTCCAAAAAACAACTGCAGCTTTTACTGAACAGTAAATACTAATTATTTTTTACTGTACAGTAAAAACTGCCGTATGACTTTTTCAACCTTATTGGTCGATTATGAAACTTTTTACACTTGAACCTGCAGATAAACAGCGTAAAACAGTAGCGGAATGTTACAGCGTGCAAAGAATGTTGCGAAACTCGTGAAGTTTCTTTGTTTCTTTTCAATGAAATCATGTAGAACATTGTCGGTTTATAGGGTGACTCGTATGTTTGGAATGGGATTATATGTTACTAATATGGGGCGGGTGATTTTGGTTTTTTGGGGGTAGGGGAGGAGGTAGAAAGCTTTTTTGGTCTACTTTTGTAGATTTTTTCTATTTTTTCGAAAAATCAACAGGGGGACCACGTTCAACTTTTTTCAAAAAACTTGTTTTAAATTCAACAGGGGGGGGACCAAGCACAACTTTTTTCAAAAAAATTTTTTTTGGGCTGGGACACCCCCCTGGATCTGACCAATAATTTTACGTATAATTATTATTATGTACGTTGTGTTATACTGTATTACATATTAGGTTTTTCAAATAATTCTGTGATTTTCTCAAAGAACATTTTTGGAGTTAGGGGATCAAAATTATTTGAACAAGTTATTAGTAAAATTGTCTTTTTGGAACATTTTTTGGTTAAAATTTGAAAAAACGGGTAAATTAAGAAAAAAAATTTAATTTTAGAAATTTTAATTTTAAAAAAATTTTAAGCATTGAAACTGACATTCTTTTTCGAGCAAGCTTCTTGTCGTCGGATTCCTTTTTCTTGCAGAAATTGGATTCCGATAGGAAAGCTCAGGAATCGAAAAAAGTTGACGAGGGAGCTGATTGATGCGGTCTGTCATCAGAAGCCATTCCCTTACATTCTTTGTTGGTTACAACCAAATGTTCTTTAAAATACAAAAAGGGTTCTTTTTTGATGGGTATGGAGATCGTTTCGTTCGGTTTTGTCATTTTCAGTTAGTTTTATATGTTTATAACATAAAATTTTAAGTTGGGGTGAGGAGGGGGGGGTTTAGAATAGGGCTGCTAAGAATAGAGAGCTAGTTAGCAATAATAAGGTTTTTTTTATTGTACACTCTCTATCTTATCTTACTCTACCTCTACCTAGCTTCAGCACTAGCTCTAGGCTTTCCCTTAGCTATAGCTTGGGCCTTTATTCTTAGCTTTGCCTTGCTTTAGCCTTAGCATGGGCTTTAACCTCAGCTCTAGCCTTGCCTTAGCCTTGCCTTAGCCTTGCCTTAGCCTTGCCTTAGCCTTGCCTTAGCCTTGCCTTAGCCTTGCCTTAGCCTTTGCTTAGTCTTGCCTTAGCCTTGCCTTAGCCTTGCCTTAGCCTTGCCTTAGCCTTGCCTTAGCCTTGCCTTAGCCTTGCCTTAGCCTTGCCTTAGCCTTGCCTTAGCCTTGCCTTAGCCTTGCCTTAGCCTTGCCTTAGCATTGCCTTAGCCTTGCCTTAGCTTTGCCTTAGCTTTGCTTTAGCCTTGCTTTAGCCTTGCCTTAGCCTTGCCTTAGCCTTGCCTTAGCCTTGCCTTAGCCTTGCCTTAGCCTTGCCTTAGCCTTGCCTTACCTGCTTAGCCTCAGCTCTAGCCTCGGCCCTTCCTTACCTTAATGTGGCTTTAATTTTGATTTTGTCTTACTAACCAGTATACTGTACTGTAAATTATAATACAGTAATACCTTGTTATACAACTCCATTTTACTATAAAGGTCATAGTACTCTCGACCTTAACAAGATGTGTTTTAAAGGGAACGGTAACCCTCAAATCATGTTTGGAAACAACTTTTGCGAACGACATAACTTTTTAAATTATTGCGCTGACAAAAAATTATTTTGCGCTTAATTTCGACAATTTCATTGTGCTGTGCGTTGGAGGGGTTCAGTGTTAATTTGACTGTTTGCTCTTTATTTTGTTGGGTTTTAAACTGATTTTTTCCTATATCTTATTGTTGTTGCATTTTAAAAGTTTTGATCTTGAATTTTATGTTTTAAAATGGCAAAAACTTTCTTTACAAAACGTAAATTGCAAGGACTTTCTTTACAAAACAAGTAATGGCAATAACTTTATTTCCAAAGTAACAAATAGCAAGAACTTTCTTTACAAAACAAAAAATGGCAAAAACTTTCTTTACAAAGCAAGAAATGGCAATAACTTTATTTACAAAACATAAAATGGCAAGAACTTTCTTTACAAATCTTAAAATGACAAGAACTTTGTTTTCTAAACTTAAAATGGCAAGAACTTTGTTTTCAAAATATAAAATGACAATAACTTTATCTTTAAAGCTAAAAACGGCAAGAACTTTCTTTACAAAACAAGAAATGGCAAAAAATTTCTTTACAAAACTAAAAATGGCAAGAACTTTCTTTCCAATGCCCAGTTTTTTAAAACTAGCCTGAATCTTATTTTTTAAAATTTTCCTAACATACTTTCTACTTTTTCGATATTTTTTTACTTTCATATGTTGCTTCGTCATTCCTCGTAAACCTACTATAACATGCACTTTGGATAACATTCGTCTTACTAATGATAGACAACGAACAATTTATGAATGTCTAAATCGTTTTGCTTGTTTGTCGTCGTTTTATTGATTGGCGAAAACCTTTTTTTTCACAAATTATCAAGGCTTTTATTGAGAAGTCAAAGTTATGATCGCATTTTCGGAATAGAGGTAGTAGGTATTGATATTAGGGGTGTGTAACTTAAAATTAGGGTTTTTGGAGCTGGATTGTTCTGTGGATGTTGCTCGAAATGGGCTTTGAATAGGATTCGGTAACAGGACGTTTTGGATATGACAGGGCAGGGAAAGATAGCGTAGTATAAGGTAGCTCAGAGCAGGGCATTATAGGGTAGGGTAGGATAAAGTAGGGTAAAAGCAAATAGAGCAGGGTATGGTTGATGAGGGTAGCTGAGAGTAGGTAGAGGGGGTAAGTAAGGGTAGGGTAGGTTAGGGCATGTAATGGTAGGTGATGTTAGGCGAGGGCAGGTAAGGCTAAACGAGTGTAGATGAGGGTAGGTAAGGGTAGATGTGTGGGCATGTGAGAGTAGATGAGGGTTTGTGGGGGTAGAATAGGGTGGGGAGGGTAGAGCAGGTAGTAGCGAGATAGGGCAGGGTAAGGTAGGATAGGGTAAGGCAAGACAAGTTAAGTTAAGGTAGGGTAGGTTAGGGTATAGTATGGTAGGGTAAAGTAGAGTAGGGTAGAGTAAGGCAAGATAAATTAAGGTAAGGTAGGGTAGGGAAGGATTTGCATCTATCTCCTCAAATTTTATAAATCGTCATCATGATAAAGCGGTTCAAGGTGATTGTGACGATCAGTGTGATCAGTGAGCATGACTTGTCTTTCTCGATTATCTCAAGACAAGCCTTCTGAATTATTTTTATCTGAAAATCCGCGAATTCCTCGTTCCATCTTCACTTACCACAGTGAAACAGCTTTCGTATGTTACGCAAAATGTTATGGATATACAAAAGGGAATGATCTTCTTTGTAAACTAACGTTAGTTTAGTTGTAGTTTGCTTAACATTTAATAGGAGTATATGGTAAGGTAGAGCAAGTCATAGTAGGGCAAAATAAGTAGGGTTCATTGGTTGTTTGTGCTGTTGTGACGGTTATCTCCCTAGAATCTTTACTGGTAATGCCTAAAGAGACTTCTTCAGTGAAGAGTCATGCCAATGGGGATTTTTGTTTCAGGTGTGGCATGGAGTTTAGGATAGGGTAGTGTAAAGTAGTATGGTAAAGTAGGGTAGGTCAGAGTAGGACAGGAAAAGGTAGAGTTGTGTGGTCATTTGGACTGTTTGTGTGCCGGCAGTGGGATGCAAGTGATGGTTTTTTGGTTTGCGTAGAGAAGGGAAGGGCTTGTGGCGATTTTGTTTTGATTTTTTACAGAAATCAACAGTTTGGGCTACTTTTTAAAAAACTCTTCTGCTGCCTCTCCCTTCTTTTTTTGCTCTTCCTCTACCCTTTTTTTTGCCTTGTAATACTATCGTTTGCATACCTATTTTGTAAATTTTTTAAATTTATTTTGTGTGTAAAATCGACATTCTCTCTTATATTCTTTCTCAAATTCCATTCCACTAATATCACTAGTTTTCAGAAAATGACGTCACCGCGACGCCATGAGTTGGATCCAGAGAATCCGATGAAGAATTTACGAAAGCTGTGCACGATTGGTCAAGGCGCATTCGGAGTATGTTCGATCTACCACAAGCCACGAGATGAGTATGGTCCACCCAAGAAGTACATTGTTAAGAGGGTCATCATTCCAACCGAACTTAATACAACAAGACGGGTTGTCGGTAAGTGGTTTGGTTGAAAAATAATGTAAAATTTTGAAAATTTTAATTTTTTTAAAAATTTTTTGAAAAGTAGAGTTTTTTTTTTATCATACGCTTTGGATAAAGTAGGTTAAGGTGCTGTATAGTATAATAGAGCAGGGAAATTAGGGTTGCATAGGGTGTTCTAAAGTGAGTTAGGGAAGAGAAATGTAGATTAGGCTAAGATGTGGTAAGGTAGAATAGAGTAGAGCAAGCTAAAGGTAGGGTTTTAAGTAGGGTAGGACAAGGTAAGGTAGATAAAGGTTGGTTAAGGTGTGGTAAAGTAGGGTAGGTTAAGGTTAGGTAAGGTGTGGTAAAGTAAGACGTGATAAAATAAGATGTGGTACAGTAAGGTAGGATAGGGTAGGTAAAAATAGGGTAGAGTAAGGTTTAGTAAAGAACGGTAGGGCAGGGTAAAATTTCGTAGAGGATTTAAAAAATGAAAAATTTACAGTCACGTTTGTTGTTTAAAATTTTAATGTAAAAGGTTGAACTCGATAGTAATATTACACTGCAAATACCAGGAAATTGAAAATCTTCCGAGATGTTTTCTATTATTGTATACAACTGATATTGTAATAGTTTAACTGCTTTGCTTTGATGTTTGGAATAGGGTAAAGAAGTGAATGTTTAATGAATTTTTTTATTTTATTGTATTGTAAATTGTTTTGTCCTAAAGTTGAACCCACAATGTCATGGGTCATTTCATGAATATAAATCAAGTTTTATGAGCTTGAGCTAGTGTACTGTCTACTACAATAAATTAACGACAAGTGATCGTTTTTTATCAATTACTCGTTCCAAACACAATAAATCATGTTCGCAAGCAAGTAGAATATAATTGTTATGACAAAAGCGATATTGTCACAACAAAAATGGAGTTGACGTCAGTCTTGTTGTCATTGTTGTAATAGTACAACTATGAAGTTTTGAGTTGTTATCAAAGTTTTGAAAATTTATTGTATAATATTTTTTTATTAATGTACTTTAAAATAGGCAGTCTCAATGCAAAAAAAATCAGAAAAAAATTAGTTTTTAGTATTTTAGGTAACAATTTTATAAATTTTTTATTTTAGCCCAAAAATTCTATAATAATTCTTACTTTTTCTTAAAATTTATATACAAGTTACAATTGACTCTAATGTTAAGACAAGAACTGGATAGACAAGGTTTTTGTTTTTTTCTTAGCATTTCAATACAATTTATACGTAGGAGGATAGCGCATAAAATTTTAGGAAGATTGGTTTTGGCTTCCAGTTTCTCCATAAAGTTTGAAGCGAGTTATGGCTTCCGCCGATGAGTTAAAGCATCCGCCGACTCTCCGCCAACGCGGATAACATAAATTTTCCTCTCAAAAATGCATTTCTAACTACAAAACAGCCAAAAATTTGGAAATTTTTGATGAAAAAAGTGATTTTCAACTGAAAAAACGTGTAATTTGGGTACAAACGAGTTTTTTCAAAAATTCATAACGACCTTCATATGCACTTTAAAATCCCAAAATTTTTCGAAAAAATTATACATTGGCTATACTTCTACAGTACCAAGTATGGTATTTCAGCCATCACTCAAAAATGCGTTAAAAATTTTTAAAATCCTGCAAATTTCTTGGGACACCCTTTATATAAAAAGTTTGAAGTCAATCAGAGCGGGGCAGGGGCACTTTCGTAGTCAAAAAATCGAAAAAAGTTTAATTTTGAAAAAAAATTAAAAATTTTACAAAAAAAAATTCTTCAGATGAGGCCAAGTTCTTACAAACTCTGAACCACCCCAACATAGTCGAATGCTACGGGTCAAAAATAGACAAATCCGAATTGTATATCGTAATGCACTATGCTGAAGGTGGTACTCTGGACAGACTTATCCACGACCAACAAGGTGTCTACCTTCCCGAAAAGACCATCATGTACTACTTTGCACAAGTGGCACGAGCCATTCGGTACATTCATAGTCGTAAAATTGTGCACCGAGACCTGAAAACCCAAAACATATTGTTGAACAGGAGGAGGAGTAGGGTTATGTTGGCCGACTTCGGCATTAGCAGAGAGCTGAACGCTTCTTTGGCTCATTCTTTTGTTGGTACGCCGGGTTATGTGTCGCCGGAGCTTTGCAATGGTATGTTTTATAATAAAAGTGGTATATGGGAAAGGGTGGGGCAGCGTAAGGTACGGTAGGATAAGGTAAAGTAGGGTAGGGTAGATTAGGATTCAAAATAAAGTAATTTAGGTATTTTAAGGAAGAGTTATAGAAATAATAGAGTCATTTTGCAGACTGCGAGAGCCATCTTATACGATGAAACGTATCCCGGCTGAACAAGTTTAGGGTAGAGTACGATAGAGCAAGGCACGGTACTATAAAGCGTAGCAGAGCCGTGCAGCATAATATAGAGCAGGGCAGGGTACGACAAAGAAGATCAGAGCAGGGTACGGTAAAGCAGGGTAGTGTATGATAGCGCAGAGCAGGACAAGGTGGGGCAGGGTAGGGTAAGGCAGGGTAGGATAGGGTACGGTAGTGTACGGTAAGTCTACGCCAACTTTCTATTACAATATCAATTTTTCTAGGCATGCCCTACGACTGCAAGTCGGATATGTGGGCATTGGGTTGTATCCTGTACGAAATGGTCGAGTTGACAAGCCCATTCAGTGGAGATATTCCGATTATTTACAAACGAATTGCCAACGACCCCTTCCGACCATACAAGAATGGCAATAGCACGGAACAAATGAAGGATCTCATCGAACGTTTACTGAACAAGAATCCTCATGAACGACCGAGTGCTGAACGTGAGTACTATTCATAATGTTTTTTGTGTCTTTGGTACCATTTTTGGAGTTTTAAGGTGTTTTTAAGTTTCTAGGGCGATTTTTTAGGCTTATGTTTAAAATTGCAACTTTGGTACCGTTTTTGAAAATTTAGTACTATTTTTGGTAGTTTAGTACTATATTAGAGATTTTAGTACTATTTTCGGGACTTTAGTACTGCTTTCAATAGTTTGGTACTATCATAGGAGTTTTAGTACTATTTTTGGTAGTTTAGTACTGGTAGAACAGCTTAGTACTATTTCTGGTAATTTAGTACTATTTTTGGGATTTTAGTACTTTTTTCATAGTTTAGTACGAATATAGGCAATTTAGTGCTATTTTTAGAATTGTAGTACTGTTTTAATAGTTTGGTACTATTTTGGGCAATTCAGAACTATTTTTAAATTTATAGTACCATTTTTTAACTTATAGTACTATTTTTGAAATCACTGTAACATTTCGAGAATTTAGTACTAATGTTGACTCTTTTTAGGTGTAATAACCTTCCCATGGGTATTGGAACATTGCGTGCTGGAATCGACCGAACTGTGTCGCGCAGTAACAACCACCGCCCTGGACATAAAACCGTGTGACATGACACCCACGCCCATCGTTAAGGATGGCTTCCAGAGTCTACAAACGATCCAAATGACAGAGAAAGGACCATCGTTCTACCTGAACAAGTCTTCGTCAGGGCACAACACGTCGAACACGTTGAAAATCTCACAGCATCATTATTAGAGTATGATACTTGATAGTATGTTTTAAGACTGGATAGTACAGTATCTATGTGATTGTATGTCATTTGTTGTCTATATAATGGTATATCTAGTATATACGTTATGGTATGTCTGTTTGTATCTACATTATATTATATTGTATTACTAGGTTGTTCAAATAATTGTGAGCCCGTCTTAAAACGAAGGGGCACATAATTATTTTTGAGGTTAGGGAGCACAGAATTATTTGAATAATCTAATATGTAGTAGTCTTGATGTTTGTGATCCATATTATAATAGATATGATGTAGATAATGCAAATCGTATTATATTATTCATGATGTCATGTATGTTTCACAAAATATATTATGTTGTTGTGGTAACAACTATAATAGATGTTTCTGTATAAAATAAAGTTGCAATATGGGTTTAGCAGTTGAGTTGAAGTCACAATAAAATAGTAAAAACGATACTTTTAATATTTCAAAATTAAATTGTAGACTTGGGTAGGGCTAAAATGGGTGGTGGTAGGCTTGGGTAGTTCTAGAATAGGCAGAGGTAGGCTTAAATAAACGTTCAATAAACAATTCGCGTATAACAATACCGGTAGATTTTTACCGCAGCCGGTCGATTTTTATCAAAAGTGGTCGATTTCTACCAAAAGCTGTCGATTATTAAAAAAAGTTTGCAATTTAGTTAAAAGCGCTTGAATTGTGGTATAAACCAAGAAAATTTGGGATATAATCATTTTTGGGGTATAAACAAATTTGGGTTATACACGCTGTGATCCGCAGCCCAGAGGTTAAGAAATTAGTCTGGAATGCAGAAGGCGGTAAGTACGAATCCCGCCGGTTGCATTTTGGCATTACTGCAAGCTAGCCAACTAAAATTTTGCTTAAAAAACTATTTTTTAGTCATAATTTTTGAAACTTCTAGAAAAAAAGTAATTTTTCGAATTTTCAAGCTATATTTTATTTAAAATCAACTCTTTGACCAATTGTTCTGTCTACCACAATAACTTACGATAAGTGATTTTTTACCTTTAAATTCAAGTATATTTCAGCCTTTTATCAATGTAAAAGCCTTGGCCAAACATAACATTCTTTTCACTTTTCTTATCGCAAAACGACAAAACTTCTTTCTGTACGGCGCCCAAACGTTGTTATTTGTCGTGAACGGCATTTCTCCTCAAATTTCAAAAAGCAGTTTTAGGCGAATTTCAAAATTTTAATTCATTTTTTTGAATTTTTTCAGAATGTGAATTTTAAAAATCCCGCCAAAAACACACTTCATACAAAACCTTTTGACGAATACAACCGGTCGGTTCTAGTGGAATGTCTCAACGCCGTTGCTATCCGATTCCGCGTCCACTGACCCATTTCGACGCATCTCGACCGACCAATTCGAACGATGTGCGACGGTTTCTGGAGGCGGACAAGGAGTTGCTCAGAATCAAGAATGTCTCACCTTGTACCAATTACTTCCGCGTAGGTTTTTGGAATTTAAAAATAATTTTTAAACTTGAACCATTTTACTTTTTGTAAAAGAAGTTCTTGCCGTTTTAAGTTTTGTAAAGAAAGTTCTTGCCATTTTACTTTTTGTAAAAGAAGTTCTTGCCGTTTTATAGTTTGTAAAGAAAGTTATTGCCATTTTATGTTTTGTAAAGAAAGTTCTTGCCATTTTATGTTTTGTAAAAAAAGTTCTTGCCATTTTATGTTTTGTAAAGAAATTTCTTGCTAATTGAAATTTCAGCGTTTCATGAAAGACCTCCAACTTCGCGTAGTCGAAGCTCCCGACTTTCTGGACGAGCGAGGTGGCGAAGAGAGGCCAGAACAATTGGAGAAGCTCCCGAGTGTCATCAAGAGCTCGAGAAGCGGCGATTCCGAGTATCGTGAGGTGCCCACCTGTAGCCGACGTCATGACATGAGTAGCTCCGAGACCGACGTCGAGAGTGGCGAATCAACTCCGTTGAAGCTTATTCATCCGGAGTTAGAGATGGCACTTAATGAGGTAGGGTTGATTTTTTATATTTTTTGGGGGGGGGGGGGGGGAGGTCTAATTTTTTTTTAACTTTAGGCGTTTAAAAAAATTTTTTTTATATTGTGTTGTTCAAATAATTCTGCGCCTCTTTCAAAGAAAATTTTTGGGATTATGAGGCACAGAATTACTTGAACCATCTTCTAATAGGTATTTTAAAATTTTTTTTGAAATTTAAAAAATACTTTAAGGGCTCAAAAATCAATTTGTCGCAACTTATGGGAAGATCGTGTCGTGCCCGTAGAGCTCAGCCGGGTTCGAACAAGTCCTCAAAGGAAAGCGACGAATATCAAAGTAAGCCTCTACAGTTCGGTGGGTTATTTTGCTCTAGGGGGTGTTTTAAAATTGATGTTTTATCACTGTTTATAGTTTTTTGGCGCTAGGGCAAATGTGGATCTTAAACATTTGCGGTTTTTTTTAAAGGTTTTTTTTATTTTTTGATTAATTTAGTTGTAGTATGGTACATAAAGCTACTAAAGGGTCAAATTGGTACTGTTTAAATATTTTTTGGTACTAAATGGTACTAAAAGTCTATAATGGTACTGTTTTTATATTTTTTGGTACTAAAAGTGCGAATTGGTACAATTTTAACATTTTCCGCACTTTAGTACCATTTAGCACCGAAAACTACAAAAATAGTACCATTTTGGACTTTTAATACCATTTAGTACCAAAAAATCCAAAACCGTACTAATTTAAATTGTAGTACCATTTAACACTAAAAAATACAAAAACAGTACCATTTTGGACTTTTAAAGTACCAAAAACTATAAAAACTGTACCATTTTGGACTTTTAGTATCCTTTAATAGCATTTTTTTTAAATGTACATGTTTTATATTAGGTTGTTAGAATAATTCTGTGTCCTCTCTCAAAGAAAATTTTTGGGACTAGAGGCACAGAATTATGTGAAAAACTTAATATCTTACTTTATGGTACCCTACTATACCCTACCCTGGCTTAGCTGTACCTCTGCTCTAAATTGCTCTGTCTTACCCTACTTTGCTCTACCCTACCCTAATTTACACTATCCTACCATACCCTACTCTATCCTACCTGTCATTACCTACGTAGCCTTACCCTATCTTTCCTTACTCTATTTTACTTTACTCTATCTTGTCTTATTCTATATTACCCTACCGTACCTTATCTTACTCTACCCTACTTTTCCTTACCCTATCCTATCTTACCATGCCTTATCCTACCTTACCCTACCTTATCCTACCCTACCTTACCCTACCCTACCATACCCTAACTTACCCTACCTACATAGCATTTTTTTTTCAGAACAAAAAAGCCTCGAAGAAGCCGAGTAAGACGAGCCAAGCTCGCAACACCACCCTGGACTTGTTGTCGAAGAAGGGCGTCCGGGTTGTCAATTCGACCGACTTTACAGCCAAACGCGAACGAATCGTTGAGACTTGTCCCAAACACAAGAAAACCCACGCCTACGAGATTCTACGCAAGAAGCACGCCATCGAGGTGTACGAGGTCAAAGCTGTGGATTCGGAATAAGGTTTTGGCATATGAACATAATGAGATCTATTGGGTTTGATTTCTAAAATAAATTTTACTTTGGGTATCATTATATTGATATCAGTGTTTTGCCGGACCGGTCCGGATGAGAATTTTTTCGGTCCGGTCCGAAAAATTTTCGGTCCGGTCCGGCTCTATTTTTTTTCGCTCAGGTCCGATCCGGAAAATTTTTTTTTTATTTTTAAAAAAAGCCAGGAGCGCTCAAACTGCTTTCTTTACTTTTTAGAACAATTTTATTAAAATAAAAAAAAAATTTTTTCCGGACGGGTCCGGCAGAACACTGATTGATATTGCTGTAGATCTTCAATGATATTGTTTGTCATAACTATGGTCATAACTTGTCAATTTTTGACAAATTGTATTTTTGACTCTAAACTACTATAACCAATGTTTTTGCCACCACACAAGCCATCATATTGATCTTTATCAGCTACAAAAATGATTTTTTTTTGTTTTTTCCCCACTACTTGGCTATACCTACATGCCCTACTGTTATATTGCGCCGAGCAACAGGCTTTCCTTTCTTTGACGACATTATTTATCTTATGGGTGCGTTCACTTTACTGCGAGCACATAGGAGAGGCGATGCAGTTGTTCAAGGCATCATTGCTACCTTGGCATATTAACATGTTATGGAGAGGTTTATGACCATTTTTGTATCTGAAGAAGATGCTGAATAGACTTTAGCTTTTATTTTATTGAAGGTAGTGGTCTGGTGGTAGCGTGTGCGAGAATTTAGATTTTTACTTATGTTTTCGGCTAAGATATGATAATTTAAAGTTATATTTACTACTATAATATCTTCAACGGCTACCTTCTTTTTAATAAACCTATAAAACCATTAGTGCCAACTTGATAAAACTTAGCAACAGAACGTACTTTTAGACCTTCTGCAATATTTTTTTACTCAATTTTTAATTTTTTTACACAAAAATGAAAACTTCACATTATACTAGATAATTCTGATATATTAGAACCTTACTATTTTCTATGAATCTGAGTTACAAGGAGACTGCAAAACGGGTCATGAGCTATTCCGCTCGCAAAGTACAAGATTAGCAAGCGCATTAAAGGAAGAAGCCAGATGTTCAGCCATTGACATTAACGTTAACAGCCTACTATAATATAAATTTTTAAAATTTTTATCTGGTTTATTTAAAATTATTCTTTACTTATTGTTTAATACCTTTTTAATATATACCTACCAGGCTTACTAATTCTACAACGTGCTGTACGCTGTTGTACGACCAGTAACACTTGACTCAAGCTCCAGAGAACGTGCCATCACTTCCTCTGCAGCATTAATCAGTTTTGTTTTCTTTTTGGATTTCCATTAGGTGTGTAAAGTAATTTCACAACCTTGTTTTAAGGTAACAAAGGGCACTCCAACGCCATCTTTTTGTTTGTTCACCTTGTTTGACATTGGTCGTCTATGTTAACATTGGTTTATCTTATCTTTTCGCATAAAAACCTATCTCAACTCCTCAAAAATGTTTACAATTTATGTTTTACTAATCACAATGTTTACAGTTTGATACTTTCCATTGTTTTTCCGCGGTTTTATATTGCTTTTCCGCGAAATTTATTGACTTTTCCGCTTTGTGCGGGCTGCGATGAGCCGCGCGCAGCTCGCCGCCCGCGTCTCGCTGCGAAATGTATAACATGTGCTCGTGAAGAGAGAAAGTGGAAACGTGATCTACTAATCTATGAATTCGATAACGTAGCTTCACGGGATTCTTTCATTTTCAGGTTGGGGAACGGTACGGGATTTTGCACGGATATTTGTATATATTACACACGGGAAACGAGTGTTACACACGGGAAAAACGGACTTACACACGGGATAAACCACGATGAGCAGCTATTTTCAGTCGTATCAGTATTACGTTGATTACACGTTTGATTTGCTTCATCAGAGCATCATGATTCCAAAGGTTGAGGAAGCAAGAGGCAGAGAGCTGTTGGCCGTCTCTTTCAATCAGGATTGCTCGGCGCTGGCCGTCGGACATGATGATGGTTATGGACTATATTTGTTGAGATCGGTTGAGAATTTGGAGAAGGTGCATGAGAGTTCAAGTAAGTTGAGTTTTGTTTGAGTTTTTTATGGTTTAGGGATTTGGAGTTTGAAGTGGTGTGATGGGTAATATCGATTGAACTTCTTGATCAATATTCATTATCCGGGTTTGATGTTAGTCTTAAAAGTTACTGAATTTTATATTCTTGCTAACTTATGCAGTTTTTCTTAGCCATTTGCTTGTAGAATGTAAAAATCTTTCTTGCAAAGTAGTCAACTCACAGAAAATGAGGCATGGGTAATATCGATCGTATTTGTTGTTCAATATGCCTTGTCTTCGTCTGATATTGTTCTTTAAAGTTGCTCAACAATGTTTTCTTACTTTTTTCAGCCAAGTTGTTTTTAAAAGCTTCAATTCTTATTTTACAACCGCCAACTTACTGAATGTGAAATATGGGTAATATCGATCGAAGTTCTTGATAAATTTTGCTTTTGTTTACCTTTTTTTATTTTTAAAAGATGCTTACTTATCTTGTCTTACTGGTTAAGGCTTTATTTTTTGTTATTTACATAAATTACGACTTATTGATTCAATTTATATTAGTACATACTATTATTCAACAATAAGTATGTTCGATCAAACTTCTAAATTAACAAGATCTTCTTGAATCTGTGGTTGGTCATAAAATATTCTTTGTAGTTTATTATATATATTAAAACTTAATTTACCCTATTTTAGCACCAAAAAGGACATGCGTTATCGAGCGATTGTTCAGCTCATCACTAGTCACATTCGTATCAATGGAGCACACAAGAAAACTGAGCGTATACCATTACCAAAAGGATAACGAGATATGTAACCATAACTATGGATCAGCCATTCTGTCAGTCAGATTGAACCGAAAACGAGTTATTGTATGTTTGGAGGAGAGTATACATGTGCACAATATCAGAGACATGCAGGTATGATTTTGCTTTTTTGATTGTTGTGTGTTTAGGTATTGATAGGGTTGTTTTTGGCGTTTTGGGTGTAGAATATAGTTTTTTAAAGATTTTTTGATTTTTATGTAACAAAAGTAAAGTTTTCGGTCTTTTTGATGGTTTACATTAAAATATCAATAATTTTTTGATGTTATAATGGAAAACTTCAAGATATTAGTAGTTTTTGAAAACGATTTAACTTTTCCCTATCTCATATTATTCCATTTCAGCTTCTGCATGTGATAAAAGATACTCCAGCCAATCCACTTGGCCTAATCGATCTAAGTCCCAACGAAGAAAGCTGCTACCTCGCCTATCCAGGCTCAGCCACGACTGGTCACGTCCAAGTCTTTGACGCTGACTCTATCACTGCTACATGTGGCTTTGCAGCCCACGATGGCCCATTGGCGGCCATCAAATTCAGTCCAGATTCGACGAAGATCGCCACAGCTTCGGAGAAAGGCACAGTGATTCGAGTATTCGAAGTTCCGACCGGTAATCGGCTGTTCGAGTTCACCAGAGGCATGAAGAGATGTGTCACAATTCATTCGCTGGCTTTTAGTGCGGATTCTACGTTATTGGCTTCGTCTTCGAATACTGAGACGATCCATGTCTTCTCCTTGGTTCGACCTGAACCGGCTCAGGATTCGCAACGGTAAGTTGTAGTTTATTTTGAAAAAGTGGAGTTAGAGTCACAAAGTATTGATTAGAAGTTGCTGGGGCTCAAAATATGGCTTATAAAGCGGACTTTTGGGGGAAAATTTGGTTACAACCTACTATAATATCGTTAGAACTGAGATATTACATCAAAAGCCAATGCTAAATTTTCTGTTTTCAGCCCAGAAGAAGCCCAGGACAATATCACCGCGTGGGTGAGCTACTTTTCCCAACAAGCCACTGCCTACCTCCCCTCTCACATGAACGAACTCATGCTACGTGAGAAGTCCATCTGCACCGCTCGCCTTCCAGTAGCCGGTAACAAAACCGTTGTAGGACTGCCGAAGATCAACGGTACCACCTATTTGGTCGTTGCCACTTCTGATGGATACCTATTTTACTATACGATCGAATCGGATGATAAGGAATGTAGTCTGATAAGGCAATTCAGAATCGGGCCGACCATTGGCGAAGAGGAGACTGGCAGCATCGTGCCAATCGGAAGCCGAAGAGATGGTGATGGGGACAAGACGGAGGTTTGCGATTTTGGAGTGTAAAAGACGATTTTATTAGGTTGTTTAAATAATTCTGTGCCCTTTCAAAGCAAATTTTCGGGGTTAGGGGCACGTAATTATTTGAACAACCTAATAGGTATCAATATGAAGGGTTTAAAGGGTCGGGGGAAGATATGCAGTAGTTAGCAATTAAAAATATTGTTTTAGCAATCCTACTCGCCAATCGACCGAGATTCTGCCAGTCCAGCACCAAGTGCTCGTAAGCCTAAACCACCAGTAAAGGCTAGCACACCTTCATCGGCTTCGTCAAGCCCACCAGATCAAAGAGATTCGAGCTCTCCTGATGTCAGATCCAGTAGGTTTTTTTTGAATTTGGGCTTAAAAACAAAGATTTTTGAACTTGTTTTGAATTTTCTAGCATTCAAATCAACGTATCTAGTTCCTACAACAATATTTTTCCCAAAAATGATAATTTTCGTAACTTTCAGAATCCGAAAAGCTTCGACCAGTACCACTGAAGAGCCCAGACTCAGATCTGTCAGATTCTTCGTCAATCTCCGCCCATCAACGTCAAAACTACAGCGACGAAAGCGGCTCGGAAGGCGGCCCAGACAACTCTGGCATCGAATCACCCCACGACCTCAATGATATGGACGAGTTCCCTCCACTCAAAGCCAACTTTTCCTCTGACTAAAGTCGATCATGCCAACTTTACTAAACCCAAGATTCATTTTACACTTGCTCCCAACGCCAGTTCTCCAACTTTTACTGTTTTACGACCAAAATCCGATATTAACCATGTTGCCTTTTGTAAAATATGATTCACTCTCTTAAAATTGTAAATTTCCTCTTTTATGTTGTAATTTGTATTTGGTTTTCAGTATAAAGATTGCAGCTTTTCCATCAATCAGTCTTGTACATTAGCCATCTTTCTGGTTTTAGGTAACACTTGACATCAAAACCAGCGTATGTTTTCCTTGATAAAGAAAGATGAAGCCTTGGCTTCAAAAACATGTTGTCTCGTCTTCTGTAAAATAAATCTTGTCCTGAATCACCATAATCATACCACAATTACTTGAAATTTTAATTATATTCCACTTTGTTCAATTTTTTGAGGAACATAAGTGTACACTTCCTTTTTTGCTGTATTCTCCTCGTTTTTAACTAAAATTTCAAGCCATTTCAATGTACCTTCACCTCGACTTTATTTCACAATTTAACGGGCTCTTCTATATTACTCTTGACAATAAAATTGTATAAATCTTCGTATAAACTTCGTATATTACTCTGTATTCCTTTTTGATATATTTACAATAGTATACAAACCCTCAAATTCAAGAGAATAAACCATTAAATACAAATGATTAGGGTTGAAGCTATTGAAAAGTAAATTAGGCTTAAACCCGTTGATTGCAAGGAACTTTGGCTTAAATCCATTAATAACAACGAAAATAGGCTTTAGACCATTAATTATAAGAAATTAGGGCTTTTAGCTGATATCTAAAAACCGAATAGCCTTAACTTCAAACTGTTAAAATAAGGAAAAGTTTGGGAAACCGGAGACTTATTTCAATAGGCTGCACCCTCAAAACATCGACTTTTCTTAACGATTCAGACCTAAAAACCAAAGAAAAACAATGAAAACTTACTCAAGACTCCATAGTTAATGCATTATTGATAAAATCAGTGATAATTCGGCCATAACTTACTGTTTTACATCGAAAAACAGTAAACCCTCTCAAAATATATTTATTTCCAGTTTTACCGACTCCAGCTTGCGCCCCAATGAACGCAGTTTGCAACGCACTGGTTCTTTGACGAAATGTCAAAAATTTATCGGATTTCATAAAGAGAGAGGGAAAAAAGAAGGGACCGACAGACAGCTTGATTTGTTAGGCAAAAATAAAATTTCGCTCCCTATATTCTTTTTTTGGCCTGTTTGTAGCGTTATTGTCAATCTTTTCCAAGTTTCATCGTTAATCTTATGAAATACATTGGAATAACATGGTTTATATTGTAATATATCGTGTTTTCTTCATTTTTGGTAATATTTTTATTTATTCTTCCTGCTTTTAGGATGGTTATTTGCGAATCGGCTCCTAAAAAGACTCCAGTCAAGATTGCTGCTAAGCCAGTGCAAAAGAAGGCTGAGTCTAGCTCGGAAGACTCCTCGGACGATGAACCAGCTCTTAAAAAGACTCCAGTGAAAGCTGCAGCTAAGCCAGTGCAAAAGAAGGCAGAATCTAGCTCGGAAGACTCCTCTGACGACGAACCGACTTCGAAGAAGGCTCCAGCAGCTAAGCCAGCTCAAAAGAAGGTAGAATCTAGCTCAGAAGACTCCTCTGACGATGAACCAGCTCCCAAGAAGTCTCCAGTCAAGACCACCCCGAAGCCAGTTCAAAAGAAGGCAGAATCTAGCTCAGAAGACTCCTCTGACGATGAAACAGCTCCCAAGAAGCCTCCAGTTAAGACCACCTCGAAGCCAGTTCAAAAGAAGGCAGAATCTAGCTCAGAAGACTCTTCTGACGACGAACCGACTTCGAAGAAGGCTCCAGCAGCTAAGTTAGCTCAAAAGAAGGTAGAATCTAGCTCAGAAGACTCCTCTGACGATGAACCAGCTCCCAAGAAATCTCCAGTCAAGATCGCACCGAAGCCTGTACAAAAGAAGGCTGAAGCGTCTTCTGAAGATAGTGACGATGAATCAGCTTCGAACAACGTTTCTTTTAAGAATTTGGTAACTTCTACTCCGAAGCCAACTTCTAAGAAAGTTGCGGAAGAAACAAGTGATAGTTCCGAAGATGAGACAGTTATAAATAAGTCTGTCATAGCTCCATCAAAGGATAAATCGAAATCTGGTCAAAAGAAGGCGGAATCAAGTAGCGACGACAGTGAAGACGATGAACCGGCTCCCAAGAAGGCTCCAGTTAAAGCTGTTCTAAAACCAGTGGTGAAGAAAGCAGAATCGAGCTCAGAAGACTCTTCGGACGATGAACCAGCTCCCAAGACGGTTCCAGTCAAGACCACCCCGAAGCCAGTACAAAAGAAGGCTGAGTCTAGCTCGGAAGACGATTCTGATGATAAGCCGGTTCCTAAGAAGGCCCCAGCCAAGATCACACCTAAGCCAATTAAAAAGAAGACACAATCTGACTCAGAAGATTCTTCTGACGATGAACCAGCTCTGAAGAAGGTTCCGGCAGCCAAGCCAGTACAAAAGAAGGCAGAATCTAGCTCGGAAGACTCTTCGGACGATGAACCAGCACCAAAGAAGGCTTTAGTAGCTAAGCCAGTCCAAAAGAAGGTAGAATCTGATTCAGGAGACTCTTCTGATGACGAACCAGCTCCCAAGAAGTCTCCAGTCAAGACCACCCCGAAGCCAGTACAAAAGAAGGCAAAAGCTAGCTCGGAAGACTCCTCGGACGATGAACCGACTCCTAAGAAACCTCCAGCCAAAATTGCAGCTAAACCAGTAAAAAGGAAGGCAGGATCTGACTCAGAAGACTCTTCGGACGATGAACCAGCTTCAAAGAAGAATTCAGTCAAGGTTGCAGCCAAGCCAGTCCAGAAGAAAGCAGAATCTAGCTCGGAAGACTCATTGGACGATGAACCAGCACCAAAGAAGGCTTTAGTAGCTAAGCCAGTCCAAAAGAAGGTAGAATCTGATTCAGGAGACTCTTCTGATGACGAACCAGCTCCTAAGAAGATTCAGGCGAAGAATCCGCCAAAACCAGTTGCAAAGAAGGTTGAAACTTCGAGTGAAGACAGCGAGGATGAACCAAAGAAAGCTCCAGTCAAAACTAACCTAAAACAAGTGGCTAAGAAAGCTGAATCTGACTCAGAAGACTCTTCTGACGATGAACCAGCTCCAAAGAAGACCCCAGTCAAGAGTACACCTAAACCAGTTCAAAAGAAGGCTGAATCTAGCTCTGAAGACACTTCTGATGATGAATCAGCTGCTAAGAAGACCCCGGCCAAGATTGCAGCTAAACCAGTAAAAACGAAGGCAGAATCTGACTCACAAGTCTCTTCTGATGATGAACCGGCCATTACGAAGGCTCCGGTCAAGGTTGTGGCTAAGCCAGTCCAAAAGAAGGCGGAATCTGACTCAGAAGACTCCTCAGACGATGAACCAGCTCCCAAGAAGACTCCAGCAGCTAAGCCAATTCAAAAGAAAGCAGAATCTAGGTCAGAAGATTCTTCTGATGACGAACCAGCTTCCAAGAAGGCTCCAGTTAAAGCTGTTCCAAAACCGGTGGCTAAAAAAGCAGAATCTAGCTCAGAAGACTCTTCTGACGATGAGCCAGCTGCTAAGAAGGTACCAGCTAAGGCCACACCGAAGCCAGTCCAAAAGAAGGCAGAATCTGACTCAGGAGATTCTTCGGACAATGAATTAGCTCCCAAGAAGGCTTCAGCCAAAGTTCCAGCTAAGCCTGTGCAAAAGAAGGCCGAGTCTAGCTCGGAAGACGATTCTGATGATGAACCGGTTGCTAAGAAGGCTCCTGTTAAGATTGCAGCTAAGCCAGTCCAAAAGAAAGCAGAATCTGACTCAGAAGACTCCTCGGACGATGAACCAGCTCCCAAGAAGGCTCCAGTTAAAGCTGTTTCAAAACCAGTGGCCAAGAAAGCAGCTTCAAGTTCAGAAGACTCATCTGACGATGAACCAGCTCCCAAGAAGGCTCCAGCCAAGGTTGCAGCTAAGCCAGTGCCAAAGAAGGCTGAGTCTAGTTCGGAAGATGATTCTGATGATGAGCCGGCTCCCAAGAAGTCTCCAGTCAAAATCGCACCGAAGCCTGTACAAAAGAAGGTAGAATCTAATTCAGAAGACTCTTCTGATGATGAACCGGCTCCTAAAAAGACTCCAGTCAAGGTTGCAGCTAAACCAGTGCAAAAGAAAGCTGAGTCTAGCTCGGAAGACGATTCTGATGAGGAACCGGCTCCTAAGAAGGCCCCAGTCAAGACCACACCGAAGCCAGTCCAAAAGAAGGCTGAAGAATTTTCTGAAGACAGTGACGATGATGAACCAGCTCCCAAGAAGGCTCCAGTGAAAACCGTTTTAAAGCCAGTGGCCAAGGAAGCAGCTTCAAGTTCAGAAGACTCTTCTGACGATGAACCAGTTCCCATGAAGGCCCCGGTCAAGACCACGCCGAAGCCAGTGCAAAAGAAGGCAGAATCTAGCTCAGAAGACTCCTCTGAAGACGAACCGACTTCGAAGAAGGCTCCAGCAGCTAAGCCAGCTCAAAAGAAGGCTGAGTCTAGCTCGGAAGACTCTTCTGACGATGAACCAGCTCCCAAAAAGCTTAACGGTGTAGCCAAGCCCAAGAGGATATCAGAAGCCGACGACGCTGATTCAGATGACGAACCGAAAGCCAAAGTTGCCAAAGTTAATGGAACACCGGTTAATGGTATCAAAATGAACGGAACACCTGTTAATGGTACCAAGGTCAATGGGATTAATGGAGTTGCCAAAGTTAATGGAGTTCAGTCGGAGCCAAGGAATCTGAAGAGAAAGTTTGAAGCTGACGATGATGAGGATGAAGAGCCGATTAAGATGACAAAGCTGGAGAACGGAGGGCAGGACGAGTACAATAACAACAACGGAAGGGTAAGGTGTTTTCGAAATATACTATCTATTGATAGTGTATATAATAATATCAATGTTTTGATGGTATATTTATATTATAATAGACTTTTTGAATGTAATAATGAAAATATTTGAAGAAAGTAATGTTATCCATCTTTTCAGAGAGCCAGCTCACCATTCCGTCGTGTCAGATCGTCCAAGTACGATGTTGAAGAGAAGTTCCGTGACAATTCGTACAGAGTAAGTTTCCTTTTGGTTTTTTTTGAAATTTTAGGTAACAAATTATCGAATTCGACATGATTTCGGAGGCTGTGTTAGGCATGGAATGGGCCGGTCTGTTTGCACGAAAAATGAATCCAGGCCGGTCTGTTTAAGCGTAAAACAAATCCAGGCCGGTCCTGAGCAAAATTTTGACCAGGTCGGGCTTGAAAAATGGGGCCGGCCCGTTCCCCGTGTCTAGGCTTTGTTGCTATGAGATTTGGTTTTTCGAATATTGGGCTTTCAAACGAGCTTTTAATAGGTTTTTGCGAAAAATTTTTAATTTTAGGTAACAAAAATCCGAAATTTAGAAAAAAATTGGTTTTAATTTTAAAGTTGAGATTAAATTTGATATTTTCTTCGATCTATGACTACGACATTACCATTTTTGATGTTTAGGTTTAACTTTAGGCTTTTAAAAAATTTGTTACCTAAAAAAGTTATAAATCTGTTATCTAAAAAATTAAAAAAATTCATTTTACAATTTTTTAAAGCTTTTCAAATTCTAATTTTGCCCAATTTTCAGCCCAACGACCCCTGGGGCTTCAAAGCAGCCAAAGACTTGGGCGCAGTGCGCGGCAAGAACTTCCGCCACGAGAAGACGAAAAAGAAGCGTGGAAGCTATGGAGGCGGCCGAATTTCGATGGAAGTTAATTCGATCAAATTCGACGAGTAATCAGTCGTCATTCACCCGTTTATTGTTGTTGAATTTTACTGTTTCTGTTACTGTTCTTGTTGTTTTTCCTTTACTATCAAGTTTAACAAGTTATATTGCTAATAAACTTTACTCTAAATTCATGTTGGAATTGATAATAAGGTAAATGTGATGTAAAAGCGACATGTTATCTCTATATTTTTATGTAGATACAGTACAATGTATAATATTGCCATTTTTGGGTATATGTCATGATTTATGTAGTAAGAATTTAAAGTTTTCATTTACCAATAAGTCTTGTCGCTTTTCACAGTGAAAAACAATGTATTTTGGCGACAAGTCTTTTATATTACTGTTTTGTGAGTATATCATAGTAAGGCTTTGAACCATGATGCAAACAATGATTTGATGTTTCATTGGTAAAGTAGGTGATTTCTGAGACGTCTTTAGTGGGCGGATCTCCACAGGAGATTCTCCAGTATTATGCCCGGGGTGGATAGGCTTGATAGTCAACCGATGTTACAACATTTTGTCGATGGAGTCCATCGAGAAGGTTGAAGTAGGAGAAATGACATTTGATGACTTAGTTCTGGATCGAATTTTTGATATTTCGGACTTTAATGTGTTGAACAATTGTAATGTTAATGTGTATGTGAAGAGTAGTACTGAAGGAGTTACTACGCACATAAGTAGGTACTTTAAGCTGGAATATGAATAAAAAACGACATTTTTGTAACGAAAGATTATGTTATTGTTGAAAAGACACTTTTTTAGATTATATTTCGATTCTAAAATTTTTGTCGTTTTTAACGTTGAAAACAATGTAAATTGACGACAAGACTTTTTAAAACCTTAACTTGTCAGCTTGTAGGTAATTATAACAGTAAATATACTAGATTTTGAATAAATTGTACTAGTCTAAGTACCCAAATCGTTCTTTCAAACTTCAAGTCCACCAAATAAAAAAAAATTTTAATTTAAAATTTTTAAAAATTCGAAATTTTCAAAAATTCAAATTTAATTTATTCAAAATCCACCTTGAACCCCTCAACTTCAAACCTTTTAATTCAGGATAGGATGTAACTCCACGTCGGTTTCGCCGTCCGAAAACACCGTCTCCACTTCGGTAGCCGTGTCGAAGTCGAGGCTACTGAAGTCGCTGGATACCGTGTCGCCAACCGTGAACATTGGTGGAGAATGTTGCTTTCTTCTCTTCACTTTGGTCTTGGGTAACGGGGTCGAGAGTTCGGATTCTGAATCCGAATCCCTGTCCAGGCTCAGGCCCATCGTTTCCAGGTCCTTGAACAGGTTGTCGTACTGTAAATGGGTGAGTAACTGTGATATATTATATAGTAGAAGGGAAAGTTTCTGTGATATATAGTAGAAAGGAATTTACTGTGATATAAAATTTAGCTATGAAATCGTATAGTACAGTACTGTATAGTATGACGGGGTATAGGTTGTACAGCACTAGATATTATAATACGGGACTGCATAGTACAGTACTTAATATTATAGTACGGTACTATATAGTATGGAATTAATATATATTATAGTACGGTACTATATATTATGGAACCAAAATATATTACAGTACGATACTACATAATTACGTATAATACGATGCTATATAGCACAATACTAATTAACATTACAGTAAGATGCTATATAGTACAGTACTACATTATATTACAGTACGATACTATATAGCATGAATACGATACAGTAGTACTCTAAAGTAAATCCAATATGTTACAGTACAATTTAGCACAAAAAAGCTTTAAAAAGGTCCCTTACCTTGACTTTCATGCTCTCTCCTTCGACACAGAACCGGTTCTCCACCATGTTACAGGCATTCTCGAGTTTGTCTTGAAACTCTTCGTACTGTAATTTAAAATTCCTACTATTATAAAAGATGTGTTTGTGATATAAAAGAGGTGAAAAAGTCCGTAGAAGTCTCAAGAACAGTCAAAATTAACCGTATTTTCAAACGCGCCAAAAAGAATTGGACCTTTTTTTTATATATTTCAGTGCTTTTGAGTCCGATTCTTTTTGACGCGCTTTTAGGAAATATGATTTCTACGTACTTTTGGCCCAAAATTGTACTTAATATTAAGGTACTTTATCTTAAAATGCATTTTTAACCTACCTTAACTTATCTTACCCTACCTAATCTATACCCTAATATAGATAGGGTAGGGTAACGATAATATAGCCAGGCATACCCTACCTATACTCTACCTTAGGTAACCATGTCGTAGTCCACCCCACCTTACCCTACCCCACCCTACCTTATCCTACTCTAGCTTATCCTACCCCACCCCACCTTACCCTACCCTACCTGGCCAAAAGAAATCTTACTACTCCACCCTCTCATACCCTACCCTAGTCCAGTCTGTTCTAGCATACCCTACCCTAGTCCAGTCTGTTCTAGCCTACCCTACCCTACTCCACCTTTCATACCCTACCCTAGTCCAGTCTGGCCTAGCATACCCTAGTCCAGTCTGATCTGACTTACCGTACCCTAGTCCAGTCTGGTCTAGCATACCCTAGTCCAGTCTGCTCTAGCATACCCTAGTCCAGTCTGCTCTAGCATACCCTAGTCCAGTCTGGTCTAGAATACCCTACTGTACCCCACATTCATGAACTTAAGAAGGATAGCATACCTGTTGTTTGGTATGAGCCATGAGCTGACGAATGAAGTGTTCATCTGGTTTGAAGCCGCTGACAAACTAAAACAAATTTAATTTTTCAAAATTTCAAAAAAAAATTCGAAAATTCCAAATACCTTGTTCAAATACTTCTGTGCCCAAAGCAAATTTACAAAAGCAAGGAGCACAGAATTAATTGAACCACCAAATATAACACTTACATAACGCTGCTTCAATGGCCCCTTGATGTTACTTTCATATTGAGGAAACTTGACCACTCGACCTGACTTGATGTCGCTGGCCAGAACGTCGCAGAACCGCTTCTGTCGCACATATTCATAAACACTGGCCAAATCTGAATCCGGATTCGAAACGATGGCTTGGAACAGGACTTCGTAGCTGGATCCGGGCTTCATTTGTCTGAAAAATGGCAGTTTTTAAGGGAAATTTGAAAAAATTTTCGAATTTTAGGTAATAAATTTTCAAAAATTGATAATTTATATTGAAAAATGGTTTAAAATTTCAAATTTTAGGTAAATTTTTAAAAATGATCATTTCTTTAGCAAAAATACCTCAAAAGCTATTATTTTTTGTACTCTAAATACTGTAACACTTAATACTTCAATATTGTAACACACAATAAAATCCAAAAAAAATTTAAAATAAAAAAAACTTACTCAGTAAGGTCAACATTACCAATATCAAAATCAGATGGCAAGTTTTCTCCAATTACTCGCAATAACCAATTCAAAAACTCCGGTTCCTCGTCAACGCTCATTTTGGAAATGGCACAGCCGATTTTTCAGTTTTTAAAATTTTAAATTTGAAAAAAAATTTTAATTTGGCTAAATTTGATTTAAAAAACATTATTTTTAAAATGAAAATGAGGATTTTATTATACTGTTTAGTTTTTTGAAAATTATTTGCACTGTGCAAAAAATTTTCAAAATGTAACAGTAACTTTTTATGTTTACGAAAATAAAAATTGATCAAAACATAAAAAAACAATGGCATTTTCTTTACTAATTTTGAGAATACATAATAATTTTCATTTTGAAAAAAAAGTTGTTGCAGTTTTAAAAAATCTTGCACGGTGCAAGAATTTTATAAAAAGCTACAGTAAATTTTTAAGTTTACAAAAATAAAAATTTGTAAAACTATAAACTAAAAATGGCATTTCCTTTGCTAATTTTAAAAATTTTTCTAAATTTTCATTTTGAAAAAAAAATTATTGAGGTTTGAAAAATTTCTGCACTGTGCAAAAACTTTAAAAAACAAAAAAAAATTTTATCATTTTTTTAATCTCAAACCTTGAAAACGCCATAAATTTTATGATTTATTATCTGTTTTACATTCATTATACATGAGAAATTAGAACCGAGCAGAGAAACAGTTAGCACAAGAGGTTTAGGGATCATTTCCTTACATTAATCGACTAAAAATAAGACAAATGCGACAGAAGATACCAAGTGTTACCAAATTATTATATTATAATTACAAGAATCGAGGGTTTTCCGGAAGGAAACTGTCTTCGGATGTACTAAAATGAGGTGGACAGAGTACTCGTACTAAATAGTACGGAGTGGACAAGGACTGGAGAGTACGTGTAGTGCAAAGATGGACCGTAATGAGGTACAAATGGTACTTTAAATACATAATGTACTAAAAAGCACACAGTACTAGAGTAAGTTAGGAATAGTACTATATAGTACCAATAGTAACAACGTACTGAACTAGGCTAGAAACCGTAAAGAAATTCCATAAAGATACCAAGTCGCACAAAAAGACCAAACACAGTACCATCAGTACCAAAAAGATGACCATAAGACCAAGAAAGTACCTAAAACGAGTATTAAAATCACTAAAAAGATCAAAAACAGTACCAATAGCACTGGCCTTAGTACCAATTCTCTTTCCAAATATAGTACACTTCCCACAGTACAATACACATAGTACGAGTCCAGAACATTCATTTGAGTACTAGAACAATGTTTTCCCTCAGGCGAAAAAGCCGTTTCAATTGCAATTTTGATCAAGCGTTGCACTTTTCGTCCATTATTTTTGTTTCGTTTTCGAAATTCAATTAGAAAAGAGACCAAGAGAGGGGTTTGAAAGTGATATGCGGATTTTGTGGCGGCCCCAACGACCGGTCGATTTACTTCTTCTGGGCTTGCGCGGCCGCTTGTTTGCGTTGTGCGAGGCGGCGGAGTCGTACTGAAAAATGATACTCATATAACACTTAAGATAATAAAAAAGAAAATTTATATCATTAATGCTTGTTAAAAAGCATATTTATATTGTCTTTGGCTAACATAAACCACAAAAATAGTCAATTTTAAACCATTCTTTTCAAATTTTTCATCAAAATTCGCCATTTTTTCAAAAATCCTGCCCTTACTTCCCATAAAAATAAGATAAAATATCCGCCAACCTTTATTACACCTTAATTTTACTATTTTACTTTGCGCAAAATTTAAAAAACCGCAAAAATCCGTACTGCGTCTGACGGGAATCGAACCCGTGTCGATTGCTTGGAAGGCAACCATGCTGACCATTACACCACAGACGCGCGCTCTCTTTTTCGCTCGAAAAGCGGTTTATTTCGGATTTTTCTTCGATTTTCGGCATATTTTCAGTGTTTTAGACGGGGTTTTTAACGAAATTTAGTGATTTTTTTGAGAAAATGTTGGAAAATAAACTTGCAATGTATTCACCCATTTTTCCACTATTTTTATAATTTTTTCGTCAAAATAACAGCTTTTTTTCCTGTGAAATACCAACTTTCCCCCTCAAAACTCCATCATTTTTAAATTTCCACCCCTTACCTCGTTCATAATTTCTTTCCAACGCCTCGGAAACCCGATGTCTGGCTTCCATGGACTGTAGCGAGACTCCCACCCTTAAGAGCGATTCGTTGTCCTCCACGGTCATCATGATATCCATCTCAATGGGTATGCCCAGCGCTTGTTGTCGTTGGTTTTCCGCGTGGAACTCGATGATGCTCTGATGTTTTAGGGTTGCTCTCAGCATTTTGGCGATCATTTCGGGGCTGATAAAGTTGCTCTCCACGTTCAGCACCCTGAGGCTGGGGCTGTTCTCGATGAGTTCGGCCAACGGCCGCGCCTCCTGATCGTCGATGGCGGTGTTGGAGAGGGAGAGTTTGGTGAGGTGCTTGGAGGTGGCGGCGGTTTTGATGAGCTTTCGAATCCGCTCTTTTGGCAACCGTTTCATGTTGTTTATGTTGATTTCTGTCAGGTTGGGGTCGTTTGTTTCTAACCTTCTGAAAATGAAAATGAGCTTTAAAGTTTGAACCAAATTTTCGAAAAAATTAAAAATTTGTTACCTAAATTTAAAAAAAATATCCCATTTTTGGTAAAAGCCAAAAATTAATACCTAAACTTCAAAAAAAGTAATGTTGTCACTTAAAGTTTAACTTCTTAACCTAATCTCATATTTTGTTACCTAAAATTCCATCTTTCGGCCTAATTTTCATATTTTTTACCTAAAATTTTAAAAACAAAAACCAGTTTTAAATAACTCATTTTAACCTTCAAAATCAACACTAATTCACTTTAAACTCCAAGGACAAGTAAAATAGTAACATAGCCAAGACTTTGCACGCTATAATCTTACTCTATACACTCATCCACATTTGTCATGTTTTCGGGTTCATCTGGAACGATTCGTGGTTGATATGCTTTGATAACGCCATCGAATGTGGCCGTGTTTTCGTCTTGAGCTTTGCCTTTCAGTGCATTATAGTATTGGGTTTGGTTTAGGACGTTGTGCATGCCTATAACAACATTTTAATTAACTTAATCATCAAAATAAGCCTTAAAACATCGTATTTTACATACAAACATTTGTTTATTTATTCAATTTTCGTTTTAAAAACTAACTAGCTTTATAAAAATCAACGAGAAAATGAAAATGTTACGTAAAAATTCCAAAATCCATTGAAAACATACCTAAAATACCAGCCAAATCGACCAGATCCTTCTCGGGAGCTTTGTCCAAAGCTTTCTCAATATATTCATCACCTTCTCCTTCTGTATCACTGTCCAAGTCCAGCATAATAGGCATTGGGACCTTCTTATCCTTCCCTAATCCACCATCTTGAACATTTTGATCTTTCTCCTCAAACACAGTCCCTGAAATTAAATTTTAATTAACGTATTGCCAAAATATTAAATTTTAATCTTTTTTTCATATTTTAAGCCTAATCTTTCATAGTTAAAAGCAATAATATCATCAGAACCAACCTCTTTTCACTCCCAGGTTAAAGGGCACATTCTCCTCCCAATCCTTTTCCCGTTTCGCTTCGTCCTCCAGATGTTGCAGCAACTTTTCGCGTTTATACGGCCCCGTGGGAGTCTTGTCGACGTGATATGTACACCTCTGTGATGGGGGCAGCATGGAATTCTAAAAACAAGTTAACTAATAAACAAACAATCAAATCAGTTATATTGTTCTTTGCATGTTTATAGGCTTGAGAAAAAGAACCATAACTTGGATGAAGTTGCCTTGAAAAATATGGGACATACGGAGTTTGCAGGCCAATATATGTCGTAAAAACATATATGAAGCTTGAAAGAATAATATAGTAGTATCATATAAAAAATTTGATTTTTTCATATTATCTATGATACTAATAGTGCTACATGATAAAGTAATGCTTTTTACAAGCCAAAAAAGCAGTAAATCACAATATCTAAGAAAAACGGTCTATTTTGCATTAGTTCTTTCAAAAACTCATTCGAAAAATATTAACCATGCCACATACTACGCCTTTTAGAAAATAAATCATTACCTAAACTAACAGTAAAATAATTTGTTATAGCGCGTTTCAAAGCTAAAACAACCTTTTTGTCGAAACTTCTAGAAATATCTAGAAATTCGATATTAATAATAAAGCAAACATTGAAAATCATATTCAATATTTCACATTAACATTTAATGTCTTTTTAAATATCACATTAATATCTATTGTATTCTAAAACTTGTCTATTCACTTTATTACAAAACACGTTAAATTTATCACTTTTTGATTCCTTTAAAAGGAATCGTTTCTTATCATTCTTCATGGTAATCTTATAGTAATATTATAATCTATATTATCATCGCTGCTGTAACCCTAAACAGATAAATAAACTTTAATAATTAAAACTAGTAACTTATTTTACTAGACGGGTTTTTTACCCAGAAATCTATCTACACTTTTACAATATCTTAAAATATTAGGCTTTAACTTTGTCATAAACCGTCAAAAAGTTTCAATTTTTCACCAGTCTCCTACATCAAATAACAAACTTCGATTAAAAACGTCCAAAAACAGCCTCTCCAAACACAGTCACAGCTCTAAAAACAAACAAAAAGCGGAAAAAAAACTCACGTCAGGGTCCAGATCGTGATTCAGCTCCTCCATTTCCTCCACTGATAAGTTATTCAAGAGATTGTCGAGGTCGTTGTCGTCAATGTCGCGCAAATCTCGACCGTAAATCTTGCGTTTCTCGCCCGCCGACGTGGTGGGCTCGGTCTTTTTGGTGGGGATGGATATGGTCTGATCTTCGGCATAGTAACTGAAATCCGATGCAACTGGATTCATACTCATTTTGAGCTGAATGTTGTCTTAAACCTCAGGCTTAAAATCTCAGTAAGTTCAAGCTTGTAATTGAATAATTTTTAGAAAAATAGGCTTTCGGTTGAATATTTTTAGTGAATTTAGCCTTTAAGTTAAATAAATGCAAGAAATAGACAGTAATTTAGCTGTACATTGACTTTTGATCCAAATATTATTGTTCTCCAACTGCTTCAGGTTAATACGTCAAGACGTGAGAGAAGATGTAACCTAAAGATGAATAACATTACGAAACGATAAGTAGATATAAAGAATGTTGTTAAATTTAACTTTAAACGTTCTGCAATTATTTTACTGCTTTTCAGTACGTGAATGCTTCCCTCTATATTCTTCATGCAAAACAAAAAAAGTTCGTCGAAAACTAAGCCTATGTTAATATCCAAAACCTTTTGTTTAGCCGCATAAAACCCTTTCAACTTCTTAGAAATAGCTTTTATTACCCTCTACACATCTTGGCCCTTCTTTTCATATCAAACGTCACGTGAAAATTCCCTCGAATTTAGCAAAACCTTCAAAAGTTCATCACAAGATTCGAAAATTCAGCTCAACATCCAATAATTGGTCAGGACGTCTAAAATTCAAATCAAACAAACTGCAAAAACTTACTAAAATATCCTTCAAACTTTACAAAACTCGAGACGAGTTGGAAAACAATAGCAGACAAGGTAGATAATTAGCTAACAGGCCTCGAATCAAAGGCACAAGCCTTGTCCCAGTGTTTGGCCCGATCTCCGCCGAATCCACGCTCTCTGGCCGAGGTGTTCGAAGAGGATAAGAGAGCAAAGTTTTCAAGTAACAAGAGGCAAAAATACGAGTTCGAGGTCCCAGCGAAATCCCTTGAGAAAAGTTTTTTCTCTGGTTTAGTGCGAAACGCCAAGAATTTTGTGGTTCGCGCCAGAAATGCGGCAAATTTGGAGTTCAAACGGCATTATTCAGTTAATTTTGTAGTTGTAAAGTAAAAACTAATATTTTATAGTGAGATTAAAATGTGATGATTTAAAAATGTTAAGATACACCATATGATTGCAAGTTTGAGATAGGTTCAAGAGCTATATAAACATTGGCCAAGACTCAATGATCTGAAGCAAAATGAACTGAATTTACTGCTTTTACAAAAAATATGTACGTACATGACATGGGACGTGTACAAAAACATCATTTTTTGAAAAAAAAAAGTTGTTTGATTTTAAATATTTATGTCTGATATTATCCATGACCATCAGATCACGTTTGCTCTCATAACTTTATTAAAAAGTGGCGTACTTAGATGAAATTTTGTGTAAGGCTTCTCTATAGTACTGATAGTAACCATAAAAAATTGCAGTTTCTTATTTTCACTTTTTATAATTCATTTTTAAATTTCCCGCCAACTTGGCAAACTATTCAAAAAGCATTTTTAAAACGAATCTAATAGCTTGTATCTTAATATACTTCTTACACAACTTTAAACGGAAGCTATTTGGAATTTTATTTCCTATTACTTCCAAATTTTAAGTCTTTTATATTATCCATGATCTCAAACTGCTTTGTTTATGTTATTCATGACCATAATTGCCTAATTGCCGATAAAAACTAAAAATTTTCTTTGTTTTTCACAATTGTTTATCATTATCAGTATTCATACTAGTAAAATCTTTAAAGACCGTTGGGATTAGAACAGGTGTAACCCCGAAAAACAGTTCCATGCCCTCAGGGTGGAAGCAGCAATTGGCTCGCAAACAAACAGATCAAAAGCTCTCGGATAGTGAAGGAAATTCAAGAAAATACGTTTTTGCACTTTAAAATGGAAAAAAGAAGTCAGAAAATGCATAAACTTTCTTTACAAAGCATATTATGGTAAAAAACAATCATAATATAAAGTCAAAAAGTCTTGTCGTCAATTTACATACGTTTACAGGTAAAGAAACGACAAGACTTTTTTGCCACTAAAAACAAATTCAAAAATTTTACTTTTCAAACCTTTGCTTTTGGCCTAGACGTTTAAATCTGACTTTTTTCTAATATTAGATAGTTCAAATAATTCCGTTCCCCTTAGCCCCGAAAATTTGCTTTAAATGAAGGCACAGAATTATTTAAACAACCTAATAATAAGCTTAAGATATGTTTTATGAAGCCTTTAATTAGCCTAAAAGCCTATTTAGACCCGTTTCTAAGCCCATTTTGACTTATTTCTAAGCCTAAAAACCCTGTTTTATGTCTTTTTTCTCTTACGGTTGATCATTTCGATCCAATACAGCGACCATTTACACTGTCTTCAGATTGTCGATGCTTAAAAAATAGCTATGTTTTAAAAGTCAATATCAAGATATAATATACACGAACTTCTTCATAAAGCCGTTATTCATTATAACTTTGGTATATTTGGTATATAGTTAATTGGTACTTGGTTTATAACGCGCAAAAAGCAGTGGGTTTCGTCAGTGAATTCCTCGCACAATCAAATTATTACAGTTATCAGTAAACGACCCGAATTTATAAACAGTGAAACTTCTGTATAACGGAACTCCGTCATAACAAACGGCTTTCAAGTCCTTAAACGATTTGCTATTCAGAAGTTTCAGTGTATTACATAAAAAATGGCCTTTAGCAAACAGGCCAATTATATTTACACAACGCTTTAATAATCATAATAATCATGTTAACAAAAAATTTTACTGAGTGATCTTTGAATAGATATAGTTGCTCGTTTATCTATGCAAAACCTTATGATATGTAAAGCTATTTAGAACTAATAACCTAATTTGTTGATGATTATAAGGTTAGTAAATACTACCCTAGCCAATCCAAATCATGACATAAACCCCTGCCCTTTCTTAGTCTTTACTTGTCAGGTACTCTATCTCTCCTTAATCTTACCCACCTATCTTCAAGTGCCGGGTGATTTTCTTCTGAAAGTAAAAATCTCCCCCCCCCTTTATAAACTTGCCCTAGCCCTAGCCGCCCGATCCCCAACCTTTATCATAGCCAATCCAATTCATAACCCTTGGCCTTCCTTATAATTAGCCTTAACCTATCTGTTTTTTTATTTCTTTTATTCCGGGAGGGGGGGGATAAAAACCAAAATAAAAAAAACTTTTGCAAAACCTTTAAAAATAAACCCATTGCCACAAAATGCAAAATCAAATATGAAAAATAAGTTCCGTGGGAACAATGTCACGACCACCCCGAGGCCGTTCCGTTCCGTCTCTACCAATTCCAAGCCACTGATCCTGGAAGGGGGGGGAATGAGAAAAGAGGAAATGCCATTGTTATTTCCAGTAATTTTTTTGACAGATCTATTTTGACCGAATCAGAAATCAACCGACAGTTTGTTTGCTTTTGGCGGTTGATTTCATTAAGCTTTTTCTAAAAAATGTCATTGCTTTTTGGACTTGTGATGGTCGTTAATTAATTAAGAAAGGCTTTTGAAACAAAAAAACGGGGTTTTATTAATAAACAGGTGTATGAAGTGTTATGGGAGAGGTAAGTTTTGTCATAAAAAATTAAAATACTTAAAGTATTGCTACCTAAAACCTAAGAGTAGAGCTTATTGTAAGGCTTAGGCTAGTAAAACTCAAACAACGGCTACTATAAACAGAAATAAGTCTAAGAAGAGCCTAAAGCTAAATCTCACGATAAGGCTAGAGCTGAGGCTATAGCTAGACATGCGAAATGGGCCGGGCCTGAGAAATATTTACGTCGGGAGGGGCTTGGAAATCCGGAAAAAGCCAAGCCCGGCCCGAAAAACCCAACCCGTTTCTACGTAAAAATAATTCGGGCCGGGTCTGAGCAAAACTTAAATCGAGCCAAGCCTAAAAATTGGGCCCGGCCTGCTCCCCATGTCTAGCTATAGCTAAGCTAGGACTAAGGCTAGATTGTAAAAATTATTTTGGGCCCCCTCCATGAAAAAAAAAATGCATTTTGTAAACACCCTCTCCGTATTTCTTCTATCCCTACCTAAAAAATTATTTTAACGTGCCATGGACCACCTCATCCTTACCTCTGACTGTGCCAACTTTGAAGGATGAGAAACAGACCGAGCAAAGCCCAGTTTTGAGAGCCGACCCAGGCATGAGACCAAAATTTTACGGAGCCCGTTTTCATTTTTTTCCAGCTAGCCCGGAACGATCAAAAAATTGAAGGTCTGAACTGGTCCGTCTTAAAAAATTTAAAAATTTACAGGGAGCGCCAAAAGTTCTGTTACACGGTTTTTCATAGTAGAGAAACATATAAAAATAGCAACATAGAGAAAACGACCGGTAAAGTTTTGTAACAGAACTTTTGGCGCACCTAATAATTATTAAAAAATAAATGTAAAATATTTTAGAAAATAAAAAAAATTTGCTTGGTCCATTTCAACTTTAGCTAAAGACCAGTCTAGCCCGGTTATAAAACCAGGATAGGCTAAGCCAGGCCTAGGTGGTCAGGTTAAGCCAGGCCTAAACAGCCCGCTTCTCACCGGTACCCCATATCATCCATACCTCTAACCCTGATTGACATTTTAACTATGTTTTATTTAAAAAATTATGACAAAAGGTAATCCACCCCTCTCAAAGCCTCAAAACTTGTTTAGTATGCCCTACCCTGTCAAATTAAAAAATTTTTTTTTGAAAATATTTTTTAATTTTATCACCCCTTTTTAAAAAACAAAAATTTAACCCAGCCATTTTCAATTAAAGACCCAATTTTTCCACCAATCCAACATCAACCAATTCACTTTTAAACCCGTGAAAACCCAAAGTCTTGCAAACTGCCTGCGGCATCTAATCAAACCCAGCGTTCCGGCCGAAACCAGGTGATTGTTTTTTGGGACAAATAAACAAGAAAAACGTATAAAAACGCGGCATTCCAGTTGGTGATCTTTCATTCTCAATTATCTTTGACAATCCTTGTTGTGATTAGGGGTTCGGTTTATTGGTTTGGCAATTAAGGGTCTGGACTAGAGGCACAACCAACTAGAGGTTTGGCTGCTTTTGTTATTATAGTATGAGAAA